GCCCAGAGAGAGACGAGATGAGAAGAGAGGAAGTCCAGAAAAGGGGAATTGCAAAAACTTTTCTTCCCATTGTCGATTTTCGAACGTGACTTCAGGTTTATGTGGCAGAATATAGAGAGATTTTCTTGTAGTTTATGGAATTCGTTTCACGCACATTATTTACGTAATGTACATACATGTTCCATAGGGTGGTCACTTGGGTCGCACGGACGACACGGGGTTGAAGAGAGAGACAGAAGAATCAATATATTTGATAGCAATATTCCACAAAACATCGATGTATTGTCGTTAAATTTGATGATGAAAAATATTCAGGATGCTTTCTAATGTATTTTTAGTGGGTGTTTTCCATCCATGGATATTTCTATGCCGGACCATCCGTTTATTTTGCTCCACAACGCCTCACATGCGGGCAATCTTGTGTGGGTATGAGTTTTTGGAAGAATTTTTCAAGTCCCATTTCAACCCACCCACGGAACCACAATATTTATCCATCCATCCGGCTCGAAAGGGATGCTCTTGGGCGGCAGAGAGAAAGTTGGGAGATAAACACGGGCTTGGAGGAGCTCCTTTTTGAAAATTTCCTAGCCGTTTATAGGCACTGTCACGTCTCCCACAAGTATTGACCATATTCAACTGATACTTTCAATTCAATCCCCCCAAATCCTCCTCACTACACATATAAAGTGTTATCTACTTGAGCGTTTACAGTTGATTTTCTTTTTTCCGAAAAGAGAAACCGGGCGCGGCTTCGAGAAAATAGCCTGGGTGAAAATAAAGAGAGAAAAATGTCTTCTTTCTTACATTAAGTAGTATCATTTTGTCCCCTTTAGATTACACACCGAAACCATTGGTGGACCTTTTTTTCCTCGAGCCCCATTTTATTCATTTGCCCAAATGATATTGTAGAAATCATGCGAGGAAATCAAATAGCACTATAGCGCCAATATCGGGAAACACCATCGAAGGCCGATAGACAGGGAAAAGCCATGCATATTGCGAGGTGCGACATGAGAGAAGGGGTTGCCCAACCCCGGCTGCTTTACGTAATTTCTCCATTCGACATATAGCGGAAAATCTCTGCCGGTGGCAAAACAATGGCGGGGCGCTCCCAAAGGGGGGTTTATTGGAAAAATCATCCCTGAATTTATTATCGCCACCCGCTAATATTGATACAAATACTTAATTTATTTTAAGCCCAATCGCGTGCTTTCGCGTCCGCCGAAAAAAGTTACTCATCGACAGTTTATGTGTAATGCTCGGTGGGCGGGAGGGTGGAAATATTTTAGGTGTGCCTCTCATATTGTCTTCAATACTAATTCCAAGCTCAGGTCAAATGCTCTATTGCAAAACACACAGTCGACAGCCCGGTCGATATTGCGGGAATTACTCTACATTTTTCACACTAAACACACCACGTAATGTCTGCCGAGGGTAATTTGAGGAGCAGATTTGTTATAAGTTTATCGTGTTACTATTTTTTGAACAATTTGAAGGTTTTTGTTTCGTTCCTCATGTTGGATATGTTATGCAGTGTAATGAAAGCAGTTCAGGAACAATGAGAGAGTCTAAGATAAAGGTCTCTGCGATTGGTAGAATTGTACTAAGAAGAAACCAATAAAATACTTCAAAAATCCAGAAAAGAAAGACTTTGTCAAAGGAAAGAGAAGAATAGTGGAGATAAGAATTCGAAAAAGCCATAACACTGCTTTACAATACTTGATCCGTATTATTGTAAGGATCGAGAAATAAGAGTTTTTCTAGGCTACATTGGAAATGAACAAGAGTCAACAACTAGAAAGTTAAAAACATCAGAGTCATATATTAAATTCCAATGTTAAAGTTTGTTCGGCTCGGGCTAGGTTAAAAAAAATTGTAAACTCAATATGCAGCATTATTGGTTAAAATCCCTTTCTGGCAGCACAACTCCCACTTGAACAAAAGAAATGGATAAATCTTGAAAAATACGAATGTTATGTAAGAAAGTTTTGCAGGCCCGCGTGGATGGGGGAGTGAAGAGAAAAAAACATTACGTAAGACTTTCTACGCCAATATCCGTTTCACGTAAGTTTTTCATAAAACGTCCGATTGTGGGTGCGCGACGGAGGGGCGAAAAGGGAAGGGCTTTTTTCTGGATGTGAGAAATGTGATATAGCTTTTCTTCCTCACTTGGACACACACTTCACATACAATCCCTCCCCCATTCCGCCAATACATAAGACGCACAAATGGTCTTACCAATATACTTTTTGATACGATGCGCAACCCCAACGGTGGGGAAAACTGACCATCGGCGAAAGGAGGGAATTTGGGGGTGGAAGTGAGAGAGATACTGAATCAGTGCGCTGCTCTCCTTGTGGCGACCGAGAGCTTTTCCCTCGCCGCCACCCAGGTTGAGGTACAAATGACCAAGGAATGGGGCTGTTACCGAATCTTCCTATATATACACCCCATTTTCGCGTGCTGAATTTTAAAATTGTACGGAAAATACCTTCCGGGGAAGGGCGAGCTTTGGAAAGCTCTCCGGGGGGAATGATTGGCGCAAAAATTGGGTGAACTTTCCGCAACTTCCCACTCCAGTGTCGACAAAAACCTCTCATTACTGCCGATTACGCAATCAAGTGGCGGTATATGTCATTTTCGCTAAAATTAAACTCATTACTCCGGGGCAGTAAATCAATTTTTCGTGTGCGATTCAGCGAAATAACACACAATATAGGACCCCTCAGCCCTTCGTCCAATACGCATTTGGCAAATACAATGAGCATTTGGTGAGTGAGAGCGAGAGGAAAAAAGCTTTTAGAGTAATCGATAAATTTCGGTATATAGAGTCGCTTCTGAAGAACTAACAACACTAGCCAAGGCCCAGAACTCAATTATGGACCTTTAAGGCCTCCCAGCAACATTATTACACGTCTGAAGGCGCGCGGGGCGGTGGGCCGGGGCTGAAGTCTAAAAAGGCGCACCCATTGCCCATAGAACAATTCACCATCTCGCAATTCAACATGGGTACTTGGGTATATTGTGTACTCTAATGAAAGTCCATTAATCTACCTTACATTAAAGACGATTTTCTCCCATAAGCACACCTCCAAATGTGTTCTCTCGTTCCTTTTCGAAAATTGATATGAAAATATTAGCATTATTTCTCTCTCCCAACTCTGCACGCACCTCAATTGTTCCAATTGGGAAGCACAGGATGGACGGGTGATATACTGGCGGAGAGGAGTTTGGATTTTTCATGGCATATCGGCCCCTCGTCAGCATTTAAGCCTGTCCACCAGAATGGAAGATTTAAAGGTGTTGTTTTATTCACGATTTCCCACATCAAATGAATATTTTTGGGGACAAATTGACAACACTTTTCCATTACATTTTGTGTCTTCTGGGGGCCTTTCTTCATGACACATTTCCCTCTGTCTATTTTTAAAGTCAACTTTCACTCTCGATTGGACATATTTCCACTCTTCATCCGGGAACAGCTCCTGGATATCATCAGACGTAGTCTAAGTTTAGCTAACTACTTTTTGCAGCTCCAGCTTGCGCTGTTGTTGTGAATCCTTTCAGACCCTGTGTGATATTTCCGACATTGTTTGATTTCTCGTCGTATTCTGAGGTTTTACACTTCCTTCCTTTGTTGCTCATTGCATTACTTTCTGCCTTACTTTGTCAATTCTGCTATTGTTCGTACCTTCATTCCCTTACAGAAATGTATTTACTTCCATTTCCTTTCCTCTGATGCGCTTGTTTATCATGATGTCTGTAAAACCGTTTACGCCGTTTACGCATGTTCTAAAAATCTGTTGCTGAAACTTATTAGATCTTCTGAACTGGAGGTTCTCCGCAAAAAAACAACGCTTTAGTGCGCTAACACAAAAGTTTCGGCAAAAAACGAGGATAGATTGTAGGGAATGAATAAACGTAAAATAGATTTCCAGCTACATATACTAGATCGGGAAATAGTTAGCTTGTATAGTCAAGCAACTGCCTCGTGACATATTACGAAATTAGGTCATCTCATCCTTCTTAAGCTCTCCCACTTTTGTCTTTGGCATCAACTTATAAAACTTCTTGCGGATTCGCCATTCAGTTCTCATTACAACAAAGTCTCGGCAACACTAATTAGAGAGATGGATATGCGAGCCCGAAAGTCCTCAGTAAGCAATCTGATAATAAAGCGGCGATAAAGTGCAAAGGTGGGATTTTTTGCAATATTACGATATTCTGCAAAGTTGCAAAAATCCAAGAACGGACACAATTGCAGGCCGCAGAGTGTGTGTGTGGTCCGGCGAGTGTGGAGAGGAAAAATAGTGTGTGCAATAAAATAAGAAGTGGCGATGGTATGTCTATTGCTTTGGGAAAATTTGGACCAATCTCCGGACTCCGAGCTTAGTGTTGGGACTTCAATTGAAGTGACAGAAGTTGGGAGAGATGGTGTGGATGTGTAAATTTAAAACATCGCCGCTGTATGAGCGTCCAATTCGATATTTTATTTGGTGCTCTTTGGCGCTCTTCGAGAAGGTGTGCTTTTCGCCTTTGCTCATTACATTGCGCGCTCCGTGAGACACCAGAGTTGGTCTCTTTCGTGTTTTTTTCGGCCGCCTATCTAACACATAGGCAATAGGACCATTTATTTGCTCCCTCTCTCGCTCGCTCGCAGGCGGAGTGGCCGGGATGGAAGATTGAGCGCTAGAAGTGGCAGCAAAAAGGGGAAGTTAAACACTAATCGTGCGATATTTTGATGTCTATCGTGGCTCGGGGGAACGGTTGTCCATCCCTGGATCCTAGTTGCTCGCTCTGTGTGTCTGTATGAATGGATGCGAAGAGCAAGGAGGAAAAATTTCAAATAATACCGGAGAGTTGCTTGGTGTGGAAGGAGGCAAGTGGAAATACCAAGTGAGTCTCTCTTGGACTCTCTTGGTTCGCGGTGCGTATTCGGGATGGTGACTGAGTGCGAATGAGAGAGGGAATGCTTGGTCACACAACTACCATCCCAGCGCCACTACACAGTCTCCTCCATCGCACTCTATTTACGTGTAAAGAAGTGTATCTGAAAAAATACCATGCTTGTACACAGTATATGGGCAATAATAATGGAATGAAGAAGATGCGCACTACTCTGTATTATGCGCGCAGGTTCACCGATTTTGCTCTGCATAACACACTCAACTACTCTCAGTACAATTTTAGCAATCAGGCGGGTAGCAAGTATTTTGGCTGAATCTCGGACATTTTTCAACACACAACTCCTTCCTTCTCTCTCCACACCGAGCCAGGGCATTTTCCAAGAGACAAACAACAACCAAATAGTAAATAAGACACTGTTCGTTGTGATTCACTTTTTCACATTGGCGGAAAAATACTGCGGAAAATTGTGTGCACTCCTCATCACTGTAAACTCGTAGTGATCCTCGTGAAAATAAAAGAGTGGACAAGTGTGATGGTTTTCCAGCTTGGCAAATAAGTTCGTTTTATATTTTTCTGTGGAGTGGACTTGCTGCAGAAGTGGAGGAAAAATCCATCGAGTTTTTCCTGTAATACATACAAGTTAGTATGACTTTTATTGCCACAATGCGGTGTAGAGACGAATGAATAGTGCTTCTTAGTGCATTGATTTTCTCTCGTGAGATTTGCTCGCCAGAGAGAGCATAAAAATCGATGGTGAGAACTGCATAGCCACTCCAAAATCCTGTCCACCCCGCGAGGGTTGAGAACTATATTGATTTTCTAGTGCAGAGAAAGCAATGCATAGCCATTTAGTGTGCGCCGGCCTTCCCGCGAATTTCATGTGTGATCAGCCGACGCTCTGGTCAGACACCCTCTCACCGGGAAATCTCGCGGAGGGAATTTCCCAGCTGATTTCCGTGGGTGGTTTTTCATGTGTTCCAATCGCGACATCCTCGTGCTCACTCCGCGAGTGTGTTGTCGCTGTTTTTTCCCTCCCAAGCCACCCCTCGCGACCCTCGTGGGGTGATGGAGAGTATAAATTTTCTCCTCCGCACTTTGTGTGGCCCCCTCGGAAAAATCTCACCAGCGATTTACCTAATTTATCACTAGCAATTCTTTATTGTCGAGGGCGAGGCATTTTCCAGCAAAGGGAGTGTTAATTTAAAATCAATAATATAGTGTCAATTTTCCAACTGATCGATAGATCTCTATCCAGCCACTACAATTAACCAGTGACTACAGTACAAAGTGTACCCAATAAAAAACAATTGAACAAAGTTGAGGACAAATAAAAATTGCGAATTGAATCAATTTGCTCTAATAAAAGGCAATGGAATCAGTCTCTCTCTCTCCACTGGTCGTACAAGACAATTTGTGAATAAAAGATCACCCATGGTGTGCATTTAAGAGCGCTGCACTTGTCCTCCTTCGCAATCATACTCTCTAAACTAATTTAATAGGCGCACTTACGCCTCGCCAGAGAACGGATTTAACAGTTCTTGCTGTGATTTTGCGAACAAAAAACTCCCAAAAAAACAGTTCAAGGTGCAACTTTAGTAAGCTTGTAGCTTTGCACCAATTCTCAATATGCATAAAATTGTCTTCTGACGATATATTGATCGAAATATGACATTTTTAACTCTCATCGTACTTTCAAAATGCAGACACGAATCTTCGGCTCAGAATAGTTTGATTTTTCTAGTCAATTGCGCGTTTGAAGTCAGAAATTAAATGAAATTTTAAATATCTGTATTAAAAAGGACAATAATTGTATGTAGGAATCGTAAAATTTACGCATGAATTCCGAAACTTGCTTTTTCAGCAGTGTTAAGTAGAAGAGCTTGGAAAGCGATTAAATGAATTCCGAATGGCGTTTTTGCAATTAGTATGGACAGACCATAAAACGTTGTAGTTTTACGTTATTAGTGAGATTTCTCATTGGGAATTTTAACTTACAAACCAAAACTTCGAAGTTATCTGTAGAATTTTATTATAAAAAAAAACCAAAACTTGTAATTTGTCAGTAGTTCTGTGCAATTGATAAAATAATCAAGAGTCGAAATATGCTCATCTAAATCTCTTCTAGTGTTTCACTTACTGTATTATTATGAAATGACTTTGATTTTTATTCACATATGGTTAAATGTAATTCTTACATCAATTCTTTAATTGTGTAAGCTTGAATTTATAAAGAATAAAGAAGACACCAAACTGTGTTCTCGTGAACGCATCACGCTCCCCTACTTGCTCCTGGCCAACTGCAGGCTGAGAAGCACCTTGCATTGCAGAAAATCTCGAGAATCATGTTGGTGAAAAATTGATTTTTTTTTTATTCTCCTACCGTGAGCACTTTGTCTGTGATTTGTTTTCATTTGTGCCAAGTAATACCGCGAGATAAACGCCATCATTTTGATGCCGCGAAACGATCAACGACCAATTCATCTCTTGGCATTGTTTGATGATTTGATGGTTGTCGGCTAGACAAATTTTTCTAAATGATTCTCAATTGTGAATGGGAGAGAATATACACGGGTTTTTTCCCCGGGCGCGCACTTCATAATCCCAAAACATGATAATTGTATCATCTTTCATCAAACTATTTATAAAAGGTACTTTGTTGGGAGATAAATTTCACGTTAATGGAATCATTTTGCATGAAGAGTGAGGAGAGAAGGAGAAGTGAGCAAATTGGGCTCGATATTTGTAGGATTACTTGGGTGTATTAGTGTTTAGCATCAAGGTTAATTGCTATCCATCTCATGAGCACTTGACATTCTTTCTCATCGCATTTTCCTTCCTCATTGCGGTGGGGAAAATTGGGAAAAATGGGTACACATGACGGCTCTCTCAGTACATTTGCACAGTGAAATATTCGAAAATATAAAATTAACAGTTGTAAATCGAATTAGTGGAGTTTACTTCTAATACTGGTCTAGGTAATGACACTAAATATTTAATCACGCTTCTTGTGATTAAACAACGGAAATTAGTGGCCGAAACAGAAGCTCTCTGTGGCATTCAAATCCACTGTGCACAGTGATTGTCTCACTGTGTCTCTTCTTCATAAAGAGCGAGTCATATCACAGCAACTATTGCTTTAACAGCCATTGCGTTGAATTTGTTTTTCTATTTATTCAATTTGTCAATTGAATTCATACCGCTAAGTATTAATTAGTACACTTACAAAACGTGTTAATTGAAATTTTCGATGGAACAGGTTTGATATTTATAATCCTCATCGCACAGCATCGCCTTGTCTTTCTTTTTTCTTCTCTAACTCCAAAAAAGTGGTTCCCGAAACAAAGATTGTGTCTTGCACAACATCCCAAAGGATGAGGCTGAAAGTGTGCTGTCCTAAAAGTGCACACGATGGTGCCTCTTTTTGGAGAGTAGGTAGAAAAAGTGGGCAATAGTTGCGAAGAGGCAACAAAACGCACTGACACTTAACAATGTGACCAAAGAGAGAAACCATTAAATTTGTGCGTTTGTCGTTTTGCTCTCCTTGTCGCACTGCAAGGACCATAAAAGTTAAATGGAAAAAGCTGTACAGAGCATATAATTAAGGCGAGAAGGATTTTTGAGCAGCAATTTGGCCTAACATATTGAGTCCATCTGCATTTTTGAGTGAAACTTTCACCATTTGTGTCAAATTAGCGATTTATTGTCAAATCCATTGAGATGCTGAGACAGGAAGTTCAGCGTTGATCTTTTATTGCAATTTGAGTGCAATTAATTCAGTCAATAATACTTCAAAGTGCTTTGTAATTTTTATCATTATCTCAGTGCGCAATAGCCAATAAAAGTCCAATTAATTGCAAAACTTTGAGGGTATTTTCGCGAGAATCAAATGCAATTACAACGCATTTTCGTGGTGTAATAGAGACAAAAAGCGCCAAAGACAAGCAGTGTTCAAAAATACTTTCACGTTTCAATGGTGATTCCATATGAATTTTTGGCTGAGTCGGTGAAAAAAGGCCTATTTGGCATTAGGATGATGATTCGCATGTGTCATTAATTGTATGGTTTTACCAAATGTACTTGGGCAGATGTATTGACGAATTAATTTATGCAAATCTCACCAATTGTCAAACTAATTGTGAATTATTGTATATTGGATGGTTGAATAATTTTGCCTTTCGCAATTTCAGTCATGATTAGAGAGACTTTGAGACAATTTTAGTTATTTTCCAAACTTGTGTCGTTTCCCAATTTCCACCCAAAAGTACACGCTTCGCAAGAGAGGGGAGTAATTTATTGTTCAATGAAATAAAAATGTTTATGAACGTTGGAGACATTCAACGAATTTTTATGAGACGAAAATTCGGGGATTGGTTTTGCCTGACTATCGGCGCTCGAGGGCATCGAGCATAAGCATGTTGACTGAAGTAGCATATTATTTCCAGATTCCGTCCTTTATGCGCGCCAAGTGAAATCATGGTTGATGTATAGAGAGAAGGACACTAGCGACAGTAAAAGGTATTTGAGGAAGCAAAGAAGTCCCAGGAATGATTGAAGACTCGCGGAAATCATCTAATGACTGAATCAACTCAGCTGCACACAACGGATAATAGTAACAGCGGTGTGAAAATGGAGCCTCCGGTGTCGCCGGCTCCATCGGAGCAGCAGTACTCCCTCAAGTGGAACGATTTCCAGTCGTCAATTCTCTCGTCATTCCGCCACTTGAGAGATGAGGAGGACTTTGTGGACGTTACGTTGGCCTGTGATCAGAGATCTTTTACTGCACACAAAGTCGTCCTCAGCGCGTGCAGTCCTTACTTCAGGAAGCTCCTCAAAGCCAATCCCTGCGAGCATCCCATTGTCATCTTGCGCGATGTGAGAGCTGAGGACGTTGAGAGTTTACTGAGGTAAGTGCCATAGAAGTTAGTGCAGGATTTCCCAAATGATTCATCATCCATTCGTGGATCATGTGTTGAATGGAGTCCATCCAATAAAATTGAAGTAATTAAGAGAGCGCATTGATCTCCGGTGCAGGTTTATGTACAACGGAGAGGTTCATATTGGGCATGAGCAGCTGAGTGACTTCCTGAAAACGGCTCAGCTGTTGCAAGTGCGAGGGTTGGCGGACGTGAGTGGTCCTGGGATGGGTCATACAATGTCCTCGTCCTCGCGACTCAGTCATGCCGCCCTTAATGCACAAATTGCCACACCGACAGTACAAGAACTGAAGCCGTCTCCGGTAAGAAAAAAAGTAATGTGGCCAAGTATTCTTCAGAGAATTCTGTACACATATCGCAGTACTTTCTCGGGTGATTCACCGGCACTCTTCCCTTGCAGACCTCGGGTTCCCTCTTGCCATGGGATATGCCCGACGATCGGTCCAGTCACTTGGTCAACACCCCACCGCCACAGAAGCGTATCAAAAGTGTGGATCTCTACAGGGCGCAGCATGGGCTCAGTCCGGACAGAAATCCAGACGCGAGCCAAATGCGCGAGAAGGATCGCGAGAAGAGTGATCGGGAGGATGATCGCAGTCGAAAGTCGTCTCTGGAGCGCGACAGGAGTCTCGAGTTGAGGGATTCTCTGCTGGGGCAGGCTCTCGAGGGCGGTCCCACCCTTATTGTGCCATCTCAGGTGATGAGAAGTGCTGGTGAATTGCCTGTGTTGAATTGTCGAAATGCTGAATGTGGGATCTTTATCAATGTAGAAACACTCTGATCTTGGGTCACTGCAGCAACAGAGCAACGGCGAGGACTCCAATAGCAGCGAAGCGGCCTCCGACAGGGAGGACAGCGGCATGGACGGTGCCATGGACGGCCTCAATGGCTCAATAGAACACTCACGAACGCCTTCATTCCCCAGTGCATTTCTGGGCCTGCAGGGACTCCCACTCATGCCCGGACCCTCTGGAATGCACGGAGACAATTTCGGTAAGACAATCTCTATCTATTGCCTCGTTGCTGCATTATTTTACTTCTTCATTTGCCCTCTGTTTGCTATTTTGCACACTTCAATATATGTAGTGAATTTATTTATTTTCTCAGTGAAATTAAACTTATTTGAGTCTAGATAGATTGTTTAGAGAAGTGTTTCGGCTAAACAATCACACTATCGCCACATGAACTCTGCATCATTTGAAGAAAAAAAAAGAAGGAATTTGATGTGAAAATACCCCGTTTGTATTGATTGTAAATTGTGCAATGATTTGCGAAATTCGATGAGAATTGGTGTGAAAATTAATGTTGATAATGCCAAGTCGTTTCATGTGACGTGATGAGTGTCGAAGAGCAAATATTATGGAGATTTTTATCACCCGGAAGTCTCTCAGCCGGGAAAAAACGATTTTAGTGGAATTATTTCGCAATGCCACCCTCGCATCACACCCACTTCTCTGATATTTGATCACTCCACCCTCCGTGTGTCCTTCCCTATGTATGCAAAAAGAATAAGGCGGCGAAATCTGAGGCGATATCCCGCCATTGATTTGGCAGTAAGTTGGAGGGTCAATCCATTTGGCGATGGGTGCAATGGAGAGGGAATTGCTAAGGCGAAATATCCTCCACGTATTGAGATATTAATACCCTGGGTGAAGAAAAGCGAGTATATTGACTCACGTCAGCACTTTTTTACGCCTTACTGGATGGTGTTTGTGTACTGAGGGCAATAATACTAGAAAAATTTCCCTCCAGATACACTTTTGCTTTTAATGTGTGCTCGTAGGCGAAATAAAAGTGTGGTGTCTCTGCGACTGACTACATCCTTCGGGCCGTGTCCCTCCTGAATGGCTTCAGTGTCGTCCATTTGGGTCGACTTTATTACATCGAATAAGTTCACTTCGTCGAATTTAATTGGGTATAACTTTTATTGTTATACGTCTTGTTATTAAAAAGACGCACTGGTGAGAGACTAGTGAGGGTATTTGGGGGAAGAGCGAACGTGGAGACAAGACAGTAAATCTCTGCATAGTGAAACTTCCTCTTCATCCAAACAACTCCGAAATTATTTAGGATCTTCTCATGAATTGAGAACAATAATATTTGATTTTATGTGTAGTGATCCATTTGTACAGTTTTACTTTATGTAACTCTCGCCCTCGTACATAGGAGACCGGCTCCTTTTATCTCATGTCCACCCCCATCTCGAGGATCCTTTGCACCTATCTCAATGCTCTGGACTCAATATTGCGAATTCCATTTCGTACTATTTGGGCCACGCATGTGTGACTGTTGGGTGGCGCCAGAGTTGAAATTGTAGACTTATTTGGGAGTTAGAGCATTTTATTCCTGCGAAATACTATGAAATTACGTTTCTTTAATTTTCTAACCCAAATTAGTCAAAATATTCTAACACAGTCTTCTATTTAGTGAATTTTGTGAATATCAAAAAGTTTCGTCTTTAATCTATCGTAATGCAACTTCGTGAGGAGTTCTTGCGAGGGTGAGTTTTCTTTCCTTATCTCCCATGTCCGTCCTGGTAGAAGTTTCATTTTCTACTGTGAATGTACACACAAAAGGATTTCATTTCCTCAGCACACACTCACGTTCTTCCTCCAAAGCATCCCCATGGAATTCCTCTTCCGTGAATCTCAAATCGATGATGGAGTATTTGACACTGGAAATATTGCGAATTAGAGAGTTCTACATTCGCACATCTTCTTAATTTTCACACTGTAAATTTCGTCAGTTCTAAAATATATGGGAAGTTTTGTCAACAATAAATAATATTGTCGAGAATTGCGTATAAATTACGCTTGATGACTTGAGAAAAGATAATAAATCACGGTGTGAGAAAAAGAGCGCGCGGAAAAATGCAACATTTGGCAGCGACTTTTTCAGGGGTGGGAGGAAAAGATTGGCTTACTCACAGATTTTCGCAGGTTTTTTTCGCCTGGACAGGTTCCTGAAGGGCATGAATTTACGATTTTCGAGAGGGGTTTATCATCCCCTCAGCCCAGTTTTCTGTCTATTTGCGATTCCGTCGCAAAACGATGGTGAAAATTCTATATTTAAGAATGTCAGTCTTTGAAGTGCTGCATTTTCCAGTTGGAGTGATTAGTCGCTTTGGTTGGGCGCTTTGTTTTGCCGTGCGCTCGCCCAACCACCCCCTGGAACGAATGTCTCCATTCGCTGGAAGTAATTTCCCATTCCGTCTCGCGGGCGGCAGGATTGGCATGAAGAAACTGTTGGCAAAATACATTTCCTTCCATCTCCTTGTGGCCGCGTGTGTATGTTTGTGAGTAACCATGAGGATTTGTTTGCCATGCCACAAATACCCGACGGAGGGTGGGTGATGACAGGGCGACGGTATAAATTTAATTAATTTATGTACATGTGAGTTAATGTGAAAGAACCATGCGGATATGTGCATTAGAAAGGAAATCATTTGAAGGAGCGTGTGATATATTTTCTCTCTGTCTCTCGTATTTCACCTTTTCCATTCCGATGGAAACCCTTTGCCACCATCCCGGCAAATAGCCGTATTTATGCTCCAGAGGACCTCACGAGATGTGTGTGCGGGAGGGAAGAGACAAATTTTATACACATGTGAATACAAACTTATAATGTATGATTAAATTATTAACACTCGGATAATATTTTATTAAAACGACTACGATGAATGATCCAGATACATGACGATATCAAGCGAATTTATCCGCATTTAGAGTTTCACATTTCTATATCGGCGTGTAGCATTTCGCTGGTTGGATGATAAAAATTGATTGCCAATACGTGTATGGCACTTTAATTAATACGAATCACATTCATCTCAGTGATTCTCTCGATTTCCCCCTTTCGTGTTGGGTTTAAATATATCTTCTCTAATGCGAAAATTGGACACTCATGCTAATTTCTATCCATTTCATCTCATTATTTCACTGGATGCTTTTCTCTGATGCCCCCTAAATTTGCTAATTGCCAAGTTCTGGTAACATTTTTTTTGTGCCAATCTGGTGTTATCTGAATAGGGAAGAGTGTCACGGTACCGAACTGTCTTCAAATCGGTATACAATTTGTTAATCAGTGATTTAATGGTACTTCGAAATCTGAATTCAATTAAAAAAATCATTGAGACACACTGCTTTTTAAATTAACATGGAAATTTGAGCTAATTATTATCCAGAAGTAAATGTAGTTTGCAATGGGCGGAGCATTGAAATGGGTGTGTCTATAATTTTAACATAGAAAGTATTTAATTGCAGTCGAATGAAAATTTGTGTCTGTCTATTTTCAGCAATCTGAATTAAATACAAGTTCTCATTCCTACTATTTTTCCGTATTCCCAAATAAATTGGTCCGGAACTATTTCACTTTTCCCTATATATCTCTGTAAAGTATGTATGTAGGTATTTTTGAAATGAAATAAGTGGGCTTTTTATTTCACTAAAACTCAATAGTTGACGCCATTGAAATGGAGATGATGATTTACAGACTGAATAAAGCGTCCTTTCTATTTGCGACTATTGGAAAAATATTTTTCCTCTTCGAGAGGATGTCAATGGCAAAGGGTTCACGAGTAATGTACATGTTGTATATTTTTTCTGTCCTTCGTCTCCCTATCAGATGGATGGACATTGGCATTGTTTTCCCTGTCAATTTTTTCCATCCATGGCGCGCACGGAATATCCTTCTCCGGGGCAAAATAATACGGCAATATAATGTTAAGAGTTTTGTAATATGTTTCGATATATAAAATTGTGTCTGTGTGGCGATTTTGGAGGTGGGATCCAGTGGGGGTGGAGAAGGGGGAGGGTGGGACATAAAATATTCCATATATATTGTTTGGGATTTTCTCTATAAAATTTCTCGTGTGTGCGATTGCTGGCAATTGTGATTTCGGCGGAGGACACCATCCCCTATGATGGCTGAGGCGAGTTCGGGAGGTGAAAATCGAACGGAATACACACGGGGGGAGGGTGGGATGGGTTGTGGGTGGGTTTAGTTGATAGCCCGAGCATCTCCTTTTCGGTGGGGTCCGCACACACATCCATTCGTATTGATTTATTGCTTTTGAGTTTCAGTTTCTAGTTCGCAATTTCTATTTGTCCATATGCGAAGATGCCCAGTTATTTATCTCCCCCACAGCATATATTATGTATGGTGTACATAAGACAGTATGGAGTTGTATAATGAAACTTGCGCACGTTTTCTGCCTTTCCTACCCATATGTGGAATGGACACAATGTGTTGTATCCTTCGTTTGCCGTTCTTCCTTTCGCCTTTTGTATTGCTCACTGATTTTTCCTGGGCAGATCTTGGGCGGAGGGGCGGCTTTGCTGGGCGGGGAGGGGAGGGGGAGGTGGGATTTTCTCAGGGATGGATATTTTCTCAGAAGATGTACGTGTGTGTGTGTGTTTGGCTTGTTTTTCAGCTCTGAAGGAATGGGGAGTTGGCTGTGCGAGGACATTTGAGGGCGGCAAAACACAAAATCAGGGACTTTTCCCTATAAAATACTGATAACTCATACGAGAATCCAGTTGTGACCTCGTGCAGAGTAATTAAGTGAAGAGTAAAGCTCGATCGATTTACTGGCCGAGTTTCTTTTCTGTGACTCGAGAGAAAAGAAATCATTTTCTCAAGTATTTTTCAATTTATTCCTCCGGAGCATTCTCGCCCCAAAAGTGTCTAATGCCCACACATTTTCTCAACCCGTCTATCTAAACATTGCTTCCTTTCTCTTGGCACTACTTACAAGCTGTACATAGAATGGACATGTACGATTTATTACATGACTTGAAAATATATTGTATTCCCTATATAAATGTAGAGAAATGCAAGATTTACTGCCCTAAAACTCGGTTGTCATGACACACCATTTTAGCCACAAGATTTGGGTGGGTCCCTCCCGGCCATACATCTTCCCTGGCCGGCAGAGGAAATAAACTACTCAAGGAGGGACTGATAAAAAATTAATTGATAAAACATCGAGACATATTTAGTGGGGGAGAAAGTTTTAGACATTAATTTCTACTCCAAGATTGCACTTTCGTGTTGCGTTTCTGATTAGAGTTTTCATTCTGACGATGAAAAAGACTACTTTTCTGTATCAAATTGACCCTTTCTAAAACTTGACATAAGTTATTGACTATTGATTGACCATTTGTCATTGAAAAATGTGTGAAAAGGTTCATTCAGCTTTCTGAATATCAAACAATTTTTTTGACTACCACAAGTTGCACTAGTTTAACTAATTCTGTCAGTTAGAAAACAATTAGAATTGTATAAAAAATCATTGATTTTGAACAGTTTTTGCAAATTTGTCTCAGTGAAGCTTTATTTTGCATTTTCCCAGGCGAAAAGAAGTCAAAATTGCCGTCAATAAAAAAGGGGGTATGAAATAAGTTGAGCAGAAAATGTTTCTTGAGGGAAATTGAGGGTGTTTTTCCACTATTTGCGTGTGCACGAAATACTTTTCATGCCATCTCCTCATCCAGCAAGTAATGTTTGCTCATTAATTTTCAATCGAGTCTTTCTCTCTTTCTGCCTTTGCGCGGAAATCTCTTGTGTCTCTTGTTTTTGTTCTTTTGCATCTTGAGAAACTGCATGGAAAAAAAGTGTTGTGATTGTGTTTTGGCGAGTCGCCCAGTTTGGGGTGTGACAATTCTTAGCCGCCTCTGTTCTATTGCAGGGGCGGCTGAGGAGGATTCAGCGATGGAGACGATCAGGGGCCCCGTGTGCCCCCAATGTGGGAAAATGTACTCGAATGCCAGCAATTTGCGGCAGCATTTGAGGAATGTCCATGCAACGGTCGAGAAGAGTTTGTGGCACTCGTGCCCGGAGTGTGGGAAGAGACTGAAGACCAAGCACTATCTGATTAATCATCAGCTCCAGGCGCACGGCATCCACCAAAGGGCGGGCCCAGCGTCGTACAATGGGAGCAATCAGCTGAGATATCGCAAATGAGGGGTGGGATTGGGGCACTTGTGATTATCATTTTAATTGCTCACCACGCCAGATTTATGCTTTGGTATTATAATTTCATCGAACTTTGTAGATAAGTTTTGAGTTGCTGTGCTGTTTGATTTGCCACTGTTAGTAGAGTTCTTTCTGTTCAGAGATGTTTCTAGTATTATATGCATTTAGTAACTAACACGACCGTGATCTGAATGATGCATTTAACGTTCTCAAGAGCCAAAAATGATGATGATGAGAGTTGTTGAGAGAACTGGTGACTTTGAACTGATGAATCAAAATTAAATGTTGCTCGTGCAAAAGCACGAGCTGTTGAGACCAATCGGACTGTTGAATCGGAAAGACTCTGAGAAAATTGCAGAGAGTGTCCAAATATCTTCCATCTTGCGATGAGATCAGTTCGGGCGTTGATGCTATAAATGAGATCAGGGTCGGACATTGACGGCTACCATCTAACGCTCTGCAATCCTAATGCCCGGTTGCAGATGTCCACCAGCAAGGTGTGCCAGTGGAGATCAAAAGGGAGGCGGAGGAGGAACGCTGCCCGTCGCGCGACTCCACGGCCTCATATGGGTCGGGGGTGTCCGCACAAAAGCCCGATATGTCCGGCCCGGCCGTGTCTCAGCAGCCACCGTTCCTGCCCCAGGAAGTGCCGCCAGGCGATGCGTACAATGTGCCGTGTCCACTGTGCCAGGTGCCTCTGGAGCCGCGCCTCTTCCGCCAGCACCTGGACCACCACTACCCGCGAGATAGTCCCGTGTGCCCCGTGATCCAGTGCAGCCGGCGCTTCGCCCATCCCAACTCTGTGCGCAACCACATGCGCCTGAAGCACGCCATGCAGTGGCTGAAGATGAAGGCGATGCGCTCCTCGGGCGGGGGCCCATTCCTCACCATGCCCGACTTCAAATAGTGCGCGCCCCTCGCGGTCCGGCCCGCTCAGTATTAGCGACACCAAAGCCCTCGCAGGCACTCTAGGTGCACCGCCCAGGCGGCTCTCAGCCGCCAACAGTCCATCACCTGAACAAGTAACGAAGTGTTGAGTCTCGATGATGAAACAGGTTCCTATAAAGACACTCTAGAGCTAAGGTGAATTTCTGTAGATATCCATTGTACATCATGTGGAATTATTTTACTACCACTGATAATGTGTGCATAAATAATTAGATGGGGGAATCACTCAATTGCAATTCTATCCCGAGATAGAGAAGCTTTCCACTATGTAATAGAGACACCATGTAAATTCTCTCGATGAAATATAGTGATAGACAAGAGGCAGAACCGAATTGTTTAATCTTAGCGCCACTTTGCGAGCAGAAGAGCCCACTCAGTCACTAACTTCGCCTCTATCTCTCTGTCTCTTTGCAGTATCTCGCCGATCGCTGGAGATGCGAGTGCGCGCCACTGATCCCAGACCCTGTCCCAAGTGTGGCAAGATCTACAGATCTGCCCACACGCTGCGCACCCACTTGGAGGACAAACACACCGTCTGTCCAGGCTACAGGTGTGTCCTGTGTGGCACTGTGGCCAAGTCCAGAAACTCCCTCCACTCTCACATGTCGCGTCAGCATCGCGGCATCTCCACCAAGGATCTCCCTGTCCTGCCCATGCCCAGTCCCTTCGATCCCGAGCTGGCCAGTCGCCTTCTCGCCAAGGCGGGTGTCAAAGTGTCCCCGGCTGAATTGCGAGCCAGAGCCTCTCCCACCAGCGGCACTCGGAGGAACGACATGAAGCTGGAGCTGCGCAATCCTGGCGATGACAGCAATATGGGTGACATGGACAATGATCCAGAAGATCTCACAGTGGGCAGTGCAGCTCACAATAACAACAACAGCAATACAAATCGTTACTTAGATGGTGAGTAGAGACAGGAAAGCCTAATTTCTAAGTATTTTACAAACAATTGATGTCTTTCTTGGTGCTGCTGCAGCATTCAACCATCCGAACACGACAATAACAAGAGTGCGACATGGAGCTCTTACACCGAAAAGCAATGAATCCATCTCGAAGGACTCCCACGGGGGGCAGCTGGGAAGCAGTGCTGCCACGGGATCAGCTATCCTGGATACCTACTTGCAGTTCATCACGGAGAACACTTTTGGTAAGACGCTGATGAGTGCTGGCCGTGGACGTGATGATGAGGCAGACTCTTGCAGGGATGGGAATAAATCAGGAGCAAGCAGCGGCCGCTCTGCACGCGGCCAAGATGGCCCAACTGGGCGCCATGGGACACGGATTGGACAAATTGCCGCCGGGTTTCCTGCCGTCTCAATTGGATCTGCACAAGATCAACAACCAGGCCAACAGCATGGACATCATTGGTAAGATTCAGCACAACTCCAGCGTGACAATTGAGCCGTCTGGCAAGAGAGAAGGTGAGCGATCACTTGAGATTAAGCGGGATGACGAGGAGCCAATGGATTTGGGGGCGGAGAGCACAAACACGCCGGCAGCCAATTTGTCCAATGACGGGGACAACAGCTCGGGCGAGGAGGGAAGCTACTCAGATGATGAGGGTGTGGGGAATTCGTAGACTTGCCAAGCTTGCCCAGCGCATCAGCCCAGATTGATATTTGAAGAGATGATCAGAGGGAAATATAAAAGTTATACGTGCGAGAGTGACTTCGCGTGAAGATCACGACTCTCAACATTACTTGAGGAAGCCTTAAGTTGTATACCAATTTTTATGAAAAAAAAGAAAGAAACATTATTATACATTGTAATTGATATTCTAATGCTAAGGATATTTGGTTGATGAAGAATATTATGGGAGAAGCATTGAGAAGAGAGCAAGAAGCCAGAAAAAAACGTACGCATAATCGATAAAAATATTTAGTATACGGACTTAAATATACGATTTTGAGGACGAGAGAAACTGATGGAGATAAAAATCTTGTAGCTGAACAGAAACAGAGAAATTATTAGTGTATTTTACCAATGTGCTATTCATGTTGTTTGTTATTGGAGAAAAAAAAGGTGTAATGGAGGAAAAAATCTTTGATGAAGTCGTAAAAATATTGCAAGTGGATGAGAAAAATTTGAAATCCATTCTTTTCTGGATATTTTCTTTTCTTTTCAATTTCGAGAAATGAAGACTAGAAGCAAGCAAAAGAATTAATTTAATATTTATTTGTTGATAAATTGACGAATGATAAAGGAAATTTTTAATTGTAGAATTACCGTGCCATTTAATACGATTTTTTACGTTTTTTTTTTCCTTGCATATTATTGGGGAATCTTCTTGCCACAGCAAGTAAAATGATGATTGATGGAGGGTGTAAATGTAAATAGGAGTGTAGTTCGAAGTAGAGATGAGGAAAGGTACCACAAAATGACGAGAAATGCAAATTTTTATATCACGCCTGTTGCAATATCCCCCTGGAAATGATATACCTCAGCAAACTCAGTTTTTTACACTGTATTTTATAAAGAAGAAATAGAAATGAGATGAAGTAAAAACCGATGAAATACCACAAAACTTATTATACATGTCATATAGGAAATAGTTGTAGACATTAACATAATTAAAGTTTATAGAAGAGGAATATTTAAAGTGAGATATATTCTTAACAGATTAAATCCAATTTTCTACCTCAGAACAGAAGATATTCTATTATTTTTGCATAGAGTTATAGTTGTTTTTTCTTAATTTTATTCTTACATCACCGGTCAATAGTGATTTTTTTTTCAAATCTCAGTGATACAAAATAGAGCAGAATTGAAAATCTCCTTTATATAGAAACGATAGTACTTCCAATGTTGATTAAGTGCTTCCCGTTTGTTGAATTTTTTTCCGTCTCGGTGAATTTATAAGTTGTTTTTAGAGAAACCGAAAAGTAAACCAGCTTCCATTTACAAGTTAAACTCTAATTTACAATCTCATTCAAGTACAACCTTCTAAACATTCTCAGCAGCAGACTTTCTTTTTTCTAATGAATACGGAAAATAAGTAACACGAAAAGGAGACTCAGGGAACAGAATGACAACCAAATATGAGACTTTTCTCAAGTCCATGGAATTCTTGAACGGGTAACACAGAAATCTTTCCATCCAAGTCGTGCATTTTCCCATGTGAACCGTCAAAGAAGTACTAAAGGGTGGAATTTTCGGGATTGCCTATCTCTAGTGGGGGAATTTGTAGTGGAGGAAATACTCCGCCCACTTGAATGCTCCGCCCATTCACAAATGTAGACAACTTCAGGGCGAAGATGTGACAATCTCCTGCTAAAGCAAGGCTCAAATCCCATTTTTTCTTGAGGAGGAGAGAACAATGCACAATATTTCATATAGCAATACAGATCTTAGGGTGTAAAGACTTTCATGTACAAATCGCTTAAAGCTCCTTAGATGGCTCCTTCTGTTGCTCTTACGTTTAAAACTCATAATTATTACCTCACTAATGGTTAAATATCACGGGTATTTTCATGACAAAATGCAGATTAAGAGTTAAGTGTAGAAATGACTTACAGCAAGAATGTGACTTGTATTGATTTATACCTCAATTTTTGTTTGGGACTAGAAGACAGCAAGCAAGAGAGATAAAATAATTACTATCTAAATAGTGAAGAAGATGAGTAAAAAATTCTTATAGAATAGTCGATATCTTTAAAAATGATGAGAGAAGGTGACGAGGCCACGAGTGAAGAATGTATAGAAGAAATTGTGTTTTATTGTCAATATATGTTTGTAAAACTATTTGAGGAGTGCAGAAGAGAGTAGAGGAAATCTCTGCAGTTGGTTAGAGAGGGAGAGAGGAAGAGAGAGAGAGAGAGGAGATATTGAGAGTAATAAAGTAAGTTTTATTATCACGTAGAAATATACCCTTAAAGATAGTGGAAGATGAAGTGTAGGAATATATATAGTCCTAGTTTAAATCATTAGAATGGTAAATAGTTTATTATTTGAATTTATCATGAGAAAACCATTGTTGTGAACTTTATTGGAGAGCGAACGGGAAACTTTATGATAAACATGCACTATAGAAAACTGATGAGAAATAGTTTAGATGCGATCTTGAATTCCAGAAAATCGTACTTAATATTTTTGTATTGGGTTTGGTTGTTTTTTCACAATTATTTTGCAAATCTTTTGGAAAGATGTTACTAAAAAAAAAGAGCATAAACTGTGTGATGAATTGTTTAGCTTTCTTTGGGATTTTTGTGTAGACATTTTTTATTTGGAAAGAGAAAAAAAAAGTGAATGAAGAACTAGAGAAAATTAACAAAATTATAGTTGGATGGAGATTTTTTAGTGTTGTAATATCCAGTTTAACTGAAATTTCTACGCGAGCTTACTAAAAAATGTTTCTTTTTTATTATCATTTATACTTCACATTTGTTTTGTTTATTTGACTTCTTTTGGGCAAATTCAACTGTGAAAAGCAATTTGCGCACATTAACAGAGAATTTACCACTGTTAAAGGGTTAAATAAAAGAGAAGAATAAATACAAATAGTACGGGTGCCTTTGAATGAATTTTAATAGTGAAAAAAAGAAGATGAAATTGAATAATAAAACGTAATATTAGCCAGCTTGGCTCAAAGTTCCTATATAGTAATTTGATGATGAAAATGAAGATGAATAGAGAATGGAAATCACATTTTTGTATGCGAAAATCCATCCATTTTTTCGGAAGTATAAAGATGAGAATATAAGTAAAAAATATAAAACAGTCCGTCATTGAGCAAGTTTCCTTATGATTTCGCCACATTTTGACCTTTTTCTTTTTAATTGTTCAAGAGATAGCAAAGTTAGTAGAATTCATTGTGGAAGGAATAATTGACAAGAGAATGCAAATAACTGATATGTGTAAAATTAAAACATAGCTGATATATTTAATGTATAAAATAGTGCAAATAATAAAGTGTATATGCTGCCATAAGTAAAGATATTAAGCAAGTTTGCAAGAGAAATTTAAGCGATGCCTCATCACATTAAATTTCATGTACCATTCTTTCAGTTCTTTTGCCCTGTGTGGAGATTTTACAAAAAAGAAAACATGTCGAGAGATTTTTGGCAAAATAAAGCTTCAGTTGGTGCAATAACCACGAGAATAGCAAGTAATATTTAAGGGAGGAGGAAGAACATCTAGGAAGCATATTTTATCTGGATATTCCCAATCAATACATAATTTTTATTACGATATTTTACGAGAGGAATTATATAAAATGTGTTAACTACAATTATAAGCGTAGTGTACTCTATTTTATTTAATAAATATTGTCTTGCCATACTTATACATAAGAAAGAGGAAGTTTTCACTCTAGAATGCTGCCATTCTCCGTCAGTGTCTTCTCATCCATCAGTCCCAGTTTGAGGAGACACACCAGAGCCGCTCCTTGTTCAGCGAACTTCTTGTTCTTCTCCCAAAAGGAGCTCGTGTATCGCTTTCCCTGGTACGATATCACGCTCCTGAAGAGTTTCTCCTCCCTGGAGGTTTCATAAGTGGGCAAGTTAAGGCCATTCCTGTTGGCATGGAGATGAAGAATGCTCTTAGGCAAGTCATTCGTCTCCTTGTAGTTTCCCCGAACGAAGGCCACGTTTCTCTCAGCAATGTCAGGATCGAGCTTCACTTTCTTCGTCTCAGGCCCTTCTTGAATTATCGTCGAGGCCTCTCTCCGACTGAACATGCCCTTCTGCTGGTACTCCAACTGCTTTCGCCGACAATACTCCCCGAGGTCCCATATTTGGCAAATTTGCTCAAGGGTTTGACTCTCTAGGAAGATTTTCCCTCGAGGAGTCTCTTGCAGCTCCCTCAGCATGTTCTGGACACAGTATTTCGTATTGTGAGCGGAATTGTCAAAGTCCACGCACAATTTCAGGTACTCAGTGATCACTTCGTCCAGTGGCAGCATGCAATCCTTCCGGAAGATTGATACATTCCACTCTGCAGCCCTCGCAATCATCACACTCTGAGCTCCGCACTCTTCCCTGAACTTCAGAATATCGTTGTGCCGACAAATCTCCCTGGAGCCACCATTGGCGATCACCGGAATGGATATTTCCTTCGCCACAGCTCTTATCACGTCAGGATGCACAGGATGCTGCGGTCTCTCGTCCCTCGTACGTCCGTGAATGGCAATTGCAGCAATTCCTAAGGCCTCGAACTCCTTTACCAGCTTCACAGTGTCTTCCAACTTTGGGAAGATGCGGATTTTACACGTCACGGGCACCCTGACGTTGTCTATGAGTGTTCTGAGGATGCTCTTTGCCCTCTCTGGATCACTGAGAAGAGCAGCTCCCATTCCACCTTTGATGGAGAACTCCTTGGGGCAGCCCATGTTGATGTCAATTGCCGCCACGTCTTTCTCAATCATCTTGGCCACTCTGAGTGCCCTTTTGGGACAAGCCGTGCCCATTTGGAGCACCAAGCGCTCCTTCTCCAGCGGACTCGTCCGGAAAACTACACTTCCATCGCTGGGATCAACGAAATCCACGGTGTTGAGGACATCTGCGGAAAAAGGTACTCAGATAAATACACTGTGGGCTGGACATGTTGACTTGCACCTCCACTCACCATTTACCATCCGCATGGATCTGAGAATCTTGAAGTCAACTAGCTCCTCAGTATAAACAATGTCCGCGCCGTATCGCAATGCCAGAAGCCTCATTGGCAGGGTTCCTATCCTTACCATCGGTGCCAGGATGATTTTATTAACGTACGAGAGCCTCTGACCTGAGACCGGAACACTTTCATTGATCATCTTGGCCAAAAAACCACTTCTCACGTGTGTCCGGATTCGCGAAAGCACAAATGGTTATGCTCCGTTCATCGGGCAACCCGAGTTGGCGTCAAAGTGTCAAAAGTCGTCCGGAAAGAAATAACAGTGTGGGAGGAGATTTGCAAAATTATGTTGTATTTGTATTTTGGGGCAATTTCTGTGTTTCTGGATGAAATGGATGTGTTCTAGAGGCCATGGCGCCTATTCTGCATATACTGTTGGTGGGATTTCACCACAAGAAGGGGTGTCAAGTGGAGTTTTCTCATCCACCCCTCATCGAGGGGAGTTCCGGAACGAATGAGTGCCCCTCTGGGTGGAAGTATTTGCCCACGCTCGCCCTTCCCGACGGATCGCACAATTTCACCGATGACACGGTGTACTTCAACCTTCCCAGTCTCACGGACCCCAACGAGAGCATCTACGGCGTGTCCTGCTATGGGCAAATTCCAGCCGAAGTATGACTAATCGCGATGTGTGTCTGTCCTGAGATAACGCCTCTTTCTTCTCTCTTACAGCGCCTGAAGATAAGAACTGCCGATGTGACGAGAAGCACCGTCCAGAAGGCCGTGTGCGCCCTGATGTCCTACCCAATCTACGGATATGTGGAGGTAAAGCTCACCTTGATTGCTACATGCTTCTTCGACCAGGGCGATTTCTCATCCACGGACATCCTGGTCAACATCTACGAACAGCTGAATGCTTGCCTGACGCATGAGAACCTAATGAGCGGATCGCCTGAGCGATACTTTGGCGTGGGTCTCAATTTGCGCGAGATTGTCCTCAAGTGGCGACACAAAATCCTGCTCATCTTCAAGTTGATGCTTCTGCAGCGAAAAGTTGTCGTCTTTGGCTCACCCGTGAGGCCAATTTGCAATCTTATAGTCGCCGTGGCCGCTCTGCATCCTGGACAATTGACAAAAGGCTTCCGCCAAGTGGCGTGCATTAAGACTTCCAGGCCAATGTCGCCACTTCCCGAATATCCGCCGGAATCTGGAGAGGAAGAGAAGGTGGTGCCGAGTGAAGCATCAACGAGTGTGGAGGGAGATTCTGCTGAGGAGCCCAAAGAAGCTGAAGAGGAAAAGGAGGAGGAAACTAGTCAAACAATATCTCGCGATGGAAGCGCTGATGCTCTGGTGACGATTCTCACGTCGCTCAGCTCTTTTGATCCCGCTCGCTGGGGCGCTCCTCTGCAGCTGTTCACAAAAGGCCACCTGGTCATGCCGTATCTCTCGCTGCCCTACATGGACCTACTGTCCGATCCTGCTGTGTGTGGATTCACCATCGGCGCCTCCAATATCCTGTTCCAGCAGAAGCGTCAACTGGCAGATGTTCTGATCGATGCTGAAACCGCGACAATCGACGTGGCGAGTCCGGAACTGCGCAAGCAGCTGGTTCTCACGACTGAAGATTTGAGATTTGCTGACTACGTCATCAGGAACGTGTTGAGTCCCAAGGAAGCGGCTGAAGGGAGTGAGCAGTGGGTGAAGGGTCAATTTCAAGGATACATTCTGGCTCTCTTGAGAGCCTCTCTGCTGCCTGATGGGTGCAAAGAGTTGGACCACTTCAATGGCGCATTCATGAGTGCATGGAAGAAGACACCGAATTGGCAGGAGTGGAACAACAGATGCACTCTCCTGGGCCAGGATCCCACCTTGGCTTCCATACCCAATATGCACCCATTCGCGGGCAGTTTGTCAGTGACGGACATGAAGCTGAAGCTCGCTCACACGATCCAGAGCACGGAGGGCGGCAGGAAGCTCAATCAGGCGGTGAATACCACCTCCAAGGCTGTCGGAGGGGCACTTTTGCAGGCCAAAGGGGCGTTTAGCACCTGGTGGTCGACAATAACGACTCCTCCGCCGCAGCCCACAGTGACTGCGAAGACGGCCACTGTGCCAGAGAAGCTGCCCGAGGAAGCGCAATGTGATAAAAGTGACGAGAATGACCCTCAGCCCGGCGCCAAGGTGGACATTGCCAAGGAGGCGGAGTTAATTGACTACTCTCGTGACATCGGGGAGATTTTCACCATTTAGTCCAGGATCTCTGCACAAATCTCTGGTATGTACTTCATTACTTTCTCATTTCTTCTCCAATTCCGCGGAAGGCGACTTAGAGGTCATCCTGTCCGGGAGAGATTGTACATTTAATTTACCATGTTTATGCGCGTCTCAATGTGATTGCTTAGATAAAAAAAGGATTATCTTCACTGACAAAAGCGTGAGCCATTCCTCTTAGCCAGTAGACGTGGAGTGAATAAATTATATTAAAGAGAAAAGAACGAAATGTTTTTTTCAATTTATTGATCTCTCTCTCTTTTTTTTATTTACATAAATTGTCCATTGTCAAATACTAATAATAAGAGTTAATCACCAAATAAAATTTGCCCAAACTATCATCTTAAAACACTTTAAAAGGTTTCACCAGTAAATTTCTTATGCCATTCTTCATTATAATCGCGCTTGCAATTTTTTAATAATTCTTCTTTTTTTCATTCTGTAACTTGCCGAAAACAAACCGAAAAATTAAGAGTCTACAAATAGAAGGTTAAATTCTCTGTCCATTCTGATATGTTTTCCTTTTTTTGCCCTATCGTCAGCTCGTCAAATTTTCGTTTTTTTTTTTTGGAAAATAGTGGCGTGTTTGTTCTTTGTTTTTGCTATGGTTAGAATTAAAGTGTTTTTAAGTACCCAACAAAAAGCTAATGATAAGTTGGAAAGAATCTATTCTTGATGATTTCAAGGCACTTTGTCTCTTCTCACATTTCATCTCTTTCACTGTGAATTTGTAGTGTGGAAAATTGATCTTGATTTCTTTTTGGGGGGAGGAAAATGGTTGATGCTTCTTCAAAAGGAAATTGTTACAAGTTGAAATATTCTTTCTCCTCTCTCACAGTCATAGCAAAAATATGGTCTATTCTTCTATTTTTTCTTAATTTCTCTCTTTCACTTCTATTTCCTCACTTTTACCCTTAATCTCCATAAAAGTACTTTTTTTTTTTACAAATAATTCCTCTTTGCATGTATGTGATTTTGTGTAGTGTTTCTTCTTCTCATTAAGTTTGATTTACTCCTCAAACAACTTAATACAAATTCCTCTCACTTACACTAAAATTGTATTCTTTATACCTCACTTAGTGGCTGGTTTCGCTAAAAGAAAGTACAAGGGGGGGATAGGGGGATGTACATTTACAACAGGGAGCTCCTCATTAACCACCTTTCGCATAATCGTGTTATACAGTTAGTTAAGAATAATTTATATATAATAATTTTCATCATTTTTTCTTCCTTTTAAATTTAATATTTATATAAGAATTTCTCTTAAATCCTCTCATCATTCATTTAAATTATCTATTTACACATGAAGACAGAAAAAAAGAAAAGAACTCCTCATCTTTGAAACAAGCTAAATATCCGCTTCTGCTTTGTGTCTCTCTTCACACATTTTATTCCCTCTCTCTCTCTCTTTCACTCTCTTAAAACATGTTTACTTTAAAAAGATTCATCATTATCATGTTGAATGATAATTTTCCCGTGGTTTGTCTCTGTCTGCGTGCCCAGAAGGAAACCCAAAAAAATTGGTATTTTTCACATTCTTTCGTTGATATTTTCAAAGGTTTTCAATTCTTTGTTGTGTGGTTCTTTTCATGCGAAGAAACATTTGACAATTGATAGAAATTGCTACAGATCTCTTAACACTTTGTCTCCCCTTTTTTCTCTCTTTTCAAACACTGTTTGTATTACTTTTCCCCTTCACGCGAAGAGGAAAGCCCGATAGTGATGGCGTCTGAGTGCGTGGAGTAGCAGGCAGAAGGCGTAGGCCAGTCCTCAATCGTTCTTCGACTGACAATAGAGCTCCTTGAGTGTCTTCAGCTCCTCGATGAGCGCCTTGTTTTGATTCTCAAGCACAGCAACTCGATTCTCCAGGCACTTGATGTATTCCTTCTTCTTTCTGCGACACTCACGAGCCGCCTCGCGGTTCTTCTGCAACCGAATTTCGCGCTTCCGCGACTGATCCTCTGCCAGCACAGGACCACCTAAAACTTTAAACAGTGAATTTACATACATCCTACCATCACACGCCACAAAGGCTCATCGGCAACACCTTGCCATCCGAACTCTCTCACAGCTCTGCAGAATTTGGCGTTCTTTCGTGACCACGCGAAAACTCCCCACGCATTTGTGTATTATCTAGAGTGTACCAGAGGAAAATTCGACACACACGTGTAATTCTTTCCACATTAACTCGTCTATTGGGCTGTCTAAAGTTGCCCTCTGTGTGAATATCAGAAATCATAAAGCAATGATATCGTAAAAAGCGACGATGGGTGCTTATCGATTGCAATGTAAATAGCAGAAGATTGCTGTTTTTCATGAATGAGAATTTTATCGTAGAACATTTTGTGTAAAACGCTCTTTTCTGTTGGGTCTCTTGATCGAAACATCAACTTCTGTCTGGCAAATAGACGGCTCAAAATCAATACTGACACGCTTGGGATTTGCTCTGGTGGACACACCAAAAAAGCCCATTTGATTAGGAATTTGCTCTGGATGAAGGCGCAGATTGAGAGATTAGTCGGATGGCAAAGGTCGTGTGCCATTGCCCTCGTCTTTCACTCGCTCTTTGCATCGCACTCCGCCGCGAGGGGCGCAAGTCTCAACGTACCAGGTACAAAGAACTGCCCATCCTGACCCTGGGTATATTGCACTATCGTACTGCCGCCGCCGGGAGTGGCTATCGTGTGTAAGCTACCAGTTGCGTCACCGCCCTGGACGTTGGTGATTTGCAATGTGGTCGTCGGCAGGACTTGGGGCGCGCGCACACCGAGAAAGAAACATTTTCCAGTTAGTCAGTGGGTCACAAATTGTTCTTGATCTCAAAACTTTTGCGAGGATATGAGGATTAGTTTAAGCTCGATTTGATTGAGAGAGAGAGAGAGAAGTAAATTTGATTGTTTTTGGACACAGAGAGCTTTTGCGCTCTGGCGAACAGGAGAGATGCAAATGAGCGAGATGATTGGCAATGAAGGTAGATTCTTTTAGCAGCCGAGGATGAGTGTCAGCGGTGACCAGTTGCGTCGCAAACTGCAATTTAACACAGCATTGCGTGACTCATTGCTAATCTGGTTGGCATTTTCAGGTGTTTGAGGGGAAAAAAAAACAACACAATTAAGCCACATTCTTAAGTGTGTTGCGGCAGATTGTGAAGGAAGCTTTGCGGTTTTGCTATCATCTGGTCACCGCTGAGTGTCATCGCAGTGTCAATTATGCTGACGTGAGACTCGTTTGAACTTTAGTGAGACATACCAGCTATGTCTGGTCCGCTGATCTCTTTCAGGATTCGATGATAGGATGGCCGCCTGGTGAGCAAATCTCTTCGCCTCTTGGGAGACTCGTCGTCCGTTATGCTGTCATCTTCGCTATTTGTATCATTTACTTGTACTTGGGTAGGTGTTGTATTTGGTTCGGGTTTTATCTGGACAGAGAGAGAGAGAAGGTGGTTAGCTTCGGATGTCCCAGGAATCCCACCGGCGACTCACTTTAACTTGAAGCCCGGCCGGAGCTGTGTGTATCACTGAGTTAGTCGTCTTATTCACATACAACACTCCCTTTGCGAGGGTCATCGGTTGCAAATTGGTCGCTGTCTGGATCACGGACGATTGATTCGCCTGAATCACGGACTGTGACTGGAAGAGAGTGAAAAAAAGGATGGTTAGTCAGTTGGCCAGGACGCACGCGGCGGATGTCTTACAACTTGAACAGCTTGTGTGGGGATGAATTGCACTATGTTGGCTGCTGTAGTCAGAACGGCCGACCCGGAGTTTGGCTCTCCTGGTGATGTTTGATCCGAGAGTGGATCGATACTTGAATTTCCGTTTTCCTCCACCATGCTATCCATAGCACCTGGGAAGCGAATCTCGCGTCTGCTCAGCTGGAAAGACAGAAGGATGACACGGCGTGTCAGATGGTCAAGTTCAAATCTTCGCGGGACGCGTGGTGGCGCCTTCGCAGGGGCTTTTCTTTTTTATGTAACTCCCCCTCCCGGGAAAGCCTGAGCCCCTCCTGGACGGCCGACCAGCAAATTGGCGCCAAATGCAGCGGAAAACACTCCACCAATGTCTCAGCTCACCGTCCGCGCGCCAGAAAGCGTCACAGCTCACCGGGAAAATACAGCAAAACGATAATTTGTGGGTGTCACGAAAAATTCAATGTTTTCCTCGGCTGCCATTTTACTTATGACACCATATTTGTGTGCGAGCGAAAGGGAACGCACGTACGTCTTCTCTTGACATTTTCCTCATATGAGAGGGAAAAAGGCACCTTTTTCCCCCCTATTCGCACAGCAGAAAAACCCACTCTGCTCCCTGGCAGCCTCTAGATGCCCTCATCCGCTGCCCCATGCTGTGCTCCCCGGGGAAAATCCCCGTGAAAATCGCTAGGAAATTGGGTGGTTTGATGTCGGAGCGATGTGATGAAAATTCCTCCTCTGCTGCTCAAACACACAAATACGCAACATTTCGCCTGAAAATGTCCATCTGGCGCATTTCAGCACACCTCAGCGTGGCGCCCCGCGACCTGGGGCGCCCGCGGGCGGTGCACTGGGTGCAAAATGAGGGCCTAAAGGGTGGCAAGTGAGTGAAAAAGTGAAAAAGCACTTACCAATTACGTATAATCCCGTCACTGTGCAACTACGTAAAAAGCCAGCCACGTCAAATTTTATTACATCGGTGATGACGTCATCGAGTGGTGACAGATAACCAAAAACTCGCGCCTGAGAGAGAGAGCGCGAGCGAGAGAGGAGATTTCCGGTGAGAGCGCGGCGAAAAGCCCACCGCGTGAAGAGAGCCGAAAACGGCGATTTAAAAAGTAACGCTCGATCCTAAGCAATATTTTTCTCAAAGGATTAAAAAAATTTTTTAACAATTGTCATTCTTCTTTTGATGGGTTTACTACAATTGCGCCCTTGTCTGTCTGGCCATCATAAGCCACATTCTCATGTCCTGCGGGTTTTCCCCGGAAATTTATGTATTTCAACAATATAAGCATGATTCATTATCAAGTAATCATCTTATCAATTCAATTCATTCCATTCAATTAGAGGGATTTTCTTACCTTCTTATTATCTGAAGCGTCTGAAGCACACTTTGCAGTTAATTCTTCTCTGGATTGCCCAATTGGAATGACGCTGATTGAGGTCAGTTCGAGTGAATTTGGATGCTTTTATAATTTACAATCTTGCTATCTGTGCTCCAGTTTCCTTCCTTGGAAAAAAGACTTCCTCCACTTCCAGGAACTCTTTCTAGAGCACATCTTTATCAGTGCAAGATTACCGATCCCGCTTTATCTCAGTGCTTGTCCCAATTGGTAGCGTATATAAAGCGCCTGGACAGATGTTGAGGACATCAGTCACATCAGTGAAGGTTTTTCAAGCAATCAAAAATGGTTCGTGTAGTCTACATCGCTCTGGTGGCCTTCCTGGCCATCGCAACTGCCCAGCAAGTTGCTGAGGAGTTGCCTGCTGAAGTTCCCATCGAGGAGATTCCCACTAAAGCGATCGCTGTGGAGAGCGTCGAGGAGTTCATGAGACAGAATCCAGGAGTGACGCTGCTGGAGATGAAGGCTGAACAGAGAGCGCTCACGCGATACTACACTCTGGGCAGGAGAGTTTCCGGAGACTTCTATGCGGCGTACGCCAGAGGCACCAACAGCTACGGATCGCCCAGATTTGTCTCCGTCAGAATCAACTACTCCGGATACATCGTGACGTACATTCAGGTGTCCGTTCAGCAGTCGTCCAACAGTGGCCGGGCTTACGTGGTGTCCGGAGGCATTGGGCAGCGTTCCATCGGGTTCATCGTCGAGGCATCGAGCACCACTCAGTTTAATTATAATGCTGACATTTATGCCAGGAAGTGAGCTTTAATATATCTGATAAGTCAATTCATTTCCGCTATTTGGTGGAGTTTTTCTTTGCTTTTCTCAAGAATCCTCTTGACTGGAGAGTCAATTGAAAGCTTTCTTGGCTTTCTCAGGTATAAATATCGGGTGATGTCAAGTGATTCTTCAGTCATGAAGTCTCTCGTGTGCTTTCTACTAGTCGCCTTTGGCGCTCTCGCCCTGTCCTGGGCAGAAAGTGGTGCTTTGTCTGCCAAAATTCAAGTGGTTGAAGATGTCGGTGATTTCCTGAGTGCCAATCCCGAAGCCGTTCTGGCCAAGCTCACTCCGCTGCGCACTCCGCGGGCTATTCTGTACACTCTGGGCAGCAGAGTTCCCAAGGATCGCCTGGTGGCCAACGCTCGCGATAGCACGAGCTGGGCGACTCCTCAGAACGTTCAGCTGGTCCTGAACTACCCCACGAATGGCGTTGGCGCCAATGTTTCCTACGTGAGCGTCCTCGTGAACCAGACGTCCAACCTCGGCGCCGCTTACGTCCTGAGCGGCGGCATCGGGCAGAGGCAAGTGTCCCTACTGGTCGAGGCGAAGAACACCTACACCTTTGGCTACTTGGCGGAAATCTATGGATTCTAAGAAAGGATTATATGCAGTGCAGCCCCAATAAATCTCAATCACATACGCATCAATTCTCTACTCTTTATTCATCTTCTGCTCAGTTGGAAGTGTTGTTATGCTAAATATCTACTAGTATTATAATTTAAACATTATTATTGTTTCTCACTCGTAAAGATACTACACGATACAATTATCAAGATGTCTTGTCTCCGGAGAGTCGTTGTGGCGCAGAAATCTCTGATATGGAAGTGTTATGGAAAGACCGCGCGATTTCTGCGCCCATGCGACTTCCACTCATCTTCATCTCGTCCAACAGTAAAAAACATGTGATGCTGAATTGCAGATGAAACGAGCCGCTCTTTATCACACCCAGAGAGAAGACGACTTCTCAAGAATTCCCCTGCAATTCACCATCACTCGCCCAAATACAATTACTATCATAATAATAATAAAATAAAAATAAGACTCTATTTACGATACCCATGGTAGAATATTCTGAAAATTCACCTAATCACTAACAAAAAAATCGTTGAGAAAGATTTGATCATTCCATATTTTCTTTGAGGGTTTGATTTCTTTTAAATATTTCTGAAGAAGATCAACAAAAATACACCGACGAGTATAACAAAAGTTATGTACAAAAAAAAGACTACACAAAAAACACATTTCACACATTTGTGGGAAGAATTCCCTTCGGATTTTTGTCTAGGAAACACAGTCTCACTTTAGAAGGGCTCAAAGGCACTTTTCGGGGGAAATATTCCTTTTCTCGACGCTTTCATTTTAACTTTAAGTACTTTGATAAATATTTATGTATATATCAGGTGGACTCTTTCACTGAATATTATCAATTTCGCCACCAAAGTGATTCACTCATCACACTGATAACATCTCTAATACTATTTATTGACTGAAAACGCTATTTCTAATTACACTTTCGCTACTAGATAGAGAAAATGAATACTTTTGTGATGTGCTTTTCTCTGTTCTTTGCTTTCTTGGATATATTTTGTTCTAGAAGTAAATAAAAACTATAAATAAGCGTACCCATAATGTGTTACGTAGAGTCTGAGCGATTTGAAAAACAATCAAGAAGTCCCGCCCACACGAAAACTCCGCCTACTCAGATTGTCATCTTTATGAAATGACAAATGAATAAAAGATAGAACTGAAATGGCTTCAATTCAAGGAATTTTCCGCATTAGAAAACTCAGTGGAAAATAAAAAAGAGAATGAGATGAATCTGCGTTTAAAATATACTCTGTTCTACTGCATTTACATTATCTCTTTGGAGAAGTTAATGAAGCGAATTTATGCAACACTATTTTTTCTGTTTCCTTCGCTGGACTCAAGAAATAATGAAGTTGCGAAAAATCTTATTTGGTTGAGTGAGCACGGCTCAGCTCAAATCTTCACGAGGTTATTATTAATTCCAGATGAGCATGAAATGATCTCACCTGGAATTTGTTGACCTTTGGCAGCGCATCGACACTGGGCGATGACTTTTCTCTCACGTCTGTCTTGTTCATGATATTTTAAGGATCTTACTTTCGAGCCCTTTGCACCGGAAGACATTGAAAAGCACACGGTTTGCTTAGTTTCAGCAATAATAAATCGGAAGATCAGACTTTGGAATAACTATTACCAAGATTATTACTATTGATCAACCCCTTTGAATGTCTTATCGTCTCCAATAGTATTGTTTTCAGTCAATCAATCTACTATCAGTTCATATCAGTGAATCGAATTGTCTCAAACAACTGCAATGAATGAGTAAACCTGATTTTGTTTTTCGAGGAAGTTTCAATTAACCAATTCCATCAGCAAATTCCTCCACCAAAAAACCATGAAAGCAACAGATTTCACCAAAATATGTCGCTTTTTTGTGATCCAACATCAATAAATTAAAACTTATCGCCTAAATAGGGAAGGAATTGGCAGTGGCGAGTCTTTGAAGAGGTTTTCCAATGAGAAATATTGAGTAACTGCCGGGGATTAATTTGAGCCCTATTCGCTGATGGAATTGGCAAATTTGTGACACTAATGCCTAATAAAAGTGTTCTACCTCGGGAATGATTGCGCTTGGGAGTTAGTAGCTCGGCTGGATCTGCTTGAACTTCCACTGGTGATAGGCGTTGTTGGGATCGCACGCCGCCAGCGAGAGTTGGAGTGTTTGCGGATGTAGAGCCATGCACTTCTTGTGCACGCGATGCAGCAGCGTTGATGTCTTCTTGTCGTACTGCCACGGCCCGTCCACTGTGCCCAGGCGACAGTACGCCAGTTTGATGCCCTGCCGGTCGGCCTCCACGCAGCGCTCGCCGGTGCCCAGCTGGCCGGCGCCGTTGAGACGCATCAGCTGGTTGTTGCCGAATCCGTGGCAGTGCTGGACGCCCATGATTGAGGGCGGGGAGCGCCCCATGGCGTCCAGACACGTGTCCATGGCGGCCGATCGCAGCTCGCCCCAATGAATGTTGGCCGGCAGCGGTGGGAATTTGTCAAACACATCGTACGCCACGTTGTCCATGTACCACTGGAAGCTCTTGCACTGCAGACGCTCCTTCAGCGCCAGCTGCTCGCTGATGTCGCCCATGTCCAGGAACTGCGCCAGCGGTTCTCGCGTGTAGAAGTACTCTTTGTACTTGTCGTCGAACCACGTCTCAATCACGCGTTTGTAGTTGATGGTGATCAGTGGGCCCTTCTTCTTGCTGGCCAGCTTCCCGAAGTTGTACGGCATGAAGCCGCGATAGACGTGGCCCACGCGAGAGCAGGGAACCCACTCGATACTGCCGCCGCATTGCCAGATCTTGAAGCTCAGTTCGAAGTTCTCGCCGCCCCAGACAAGGAGACCCGCATCGTACGCGCCCAGCTCGAGGAAGTACTTCCTGTCGATGGCGAACAGTCCACCGGCATGCGTGGGACTTTTGTAGGGCTCGCTGTTGTGCTTCCGTGTCTTCTGCTCTCGTCTCGGCACCTCGTTCTCCTTGTACAGCATTCCCCACTCGAAGATCCCGCGGTAGTGATGTCCATCGGCGTACACTGGGCGGTACTCGAAGGTCTTGTGGTCAATCCCGTCGATCACTGGCACCGTCATCACTGTCCGGTCGCGATAGATGGGCGCCAGGAGTGGCGGCAGCCAATTCGTGTTCACCTCGCAGTGAGCGTCGAGAAAGACAATCACATCGCCAGTCGCTTCCTTGGCTCCTCTGGATCGCGTCCTGATCAATCCCTCTCTCTCCGTATTCCTGATCAGACGCACCTTTCCATTGAAGCGCCTGATGTAGTCCACGAGTTCGTCCTTGAGGTTCTTCTTGTCTGAGAAGTCATCCACTAGGAGAATTTCGTGCAGGAGATAATCTGGCGTTCGGTTGATGACCGAGTGAACCGTCCGGAGCAGCACTGACCAGCCCTCATTGTGGAATACAAGGATGACGCTGGTCTTGGGCAGGTCCGTGGGATAGTCCCAGTGCTTGCACTCCTCCAAGCGAGTGTCTTTAATGGATCTGTCCAGTGATATCTCATCTGAGCAGGCAATGTTCATTCCGTACTCCATTTCTGACGCCGATGCAGCATTCTGCATGCTCTCCGGCAGATTGTAGGGCTCTCCATTCTCCCCGGGGCCCGTTTTCTTCACCACCGACTTCGGCTCAAAATTTCCATAGCCTGGAAGAGTGGACCACATGAAACGGCAATCATAAAAAGCATAATTCCGTCCCATAAACCCCGAAAATACATTCCTGATAAGACCTCAAGAGCCCCAATAAACTAATTGCCGTCCGCCATCCGGGACGCCCTGGGCCCTGGAGACTCACCTTCTACGAAGCGGGGCACTTCCTTGTTTCTCTTGAGGGCCCCAAAGCGGCTCTGCAGCACCGCCTTGGCCCGTTTGTGACCATCCGACCACGTCAGGAGCAGATAGAGCAGGGGCACAAGGATGAACACACACGCCGCTATCCTGGCGATCCTACCCGTTCGCAGGTTCATGATTCGCATCTTCACCTCACTGTCCACACACCCGGATGCACAGAATCCACCCCCGGTGGCAATTAATTAAAAAATGTAGACGTGTCGTGAAGCCTTCCGCGACTTGTTGACCGTCACATTTGACATTTACCTTCTCCACGCGCAGCTTCCGTCTCCAGTCGCTCGGTGCGCTGCTCTCTCCCAGAAGGCGTTCTCCAGTTCAAAACAATAACGAGCGTTTTGTCTATTTTCATCCCTCATTTTTTTTTATTTACATGATAATACTTGTCTGTATTTACAGTAACAATGGGTTGTCCTTACAGCAATTTATTGTTTGAGGTGCTCATCATTTACCCCCATGTTTTACTTCAGTTTCGTCTATGGAATTCGCATTGAAATGAGTGACTTTCTCTATGGCAATATCATCGTTTTTCTTTATCCTCTACACTCAATTCTCCCGTCTTTTCGCTTCCATTCACAATAGAAAATAAACTAAACTACACACAAAATTTATATAATTACCATTACATTGTTTGTCATGTCTAAAATGTTAGATATATTCTTGCGAATGAAATAATGTAAAATATATGCGTAATATTTCATTAAAAATACTTCTCCTAACTCAGCATTAAAATGAATATTATCACCAATATTGCAATAAAATTTAATAACTACGTCTAAATTAATGGCATGATAAGAACTAAAGTCAATTATCATAAAATATACTCATAGGATTTTTCGTTGCAATTTTATTGATGACACAGTGCATAAAATTCATTCGAGATATTGGAAAATTGGTGTCAAATATTTGGCGAATAATTCCGGAAAATTCATTGAAGTTGAGTGATAATTGACTTCACTGCTTTAAATGCCATCAATTGGTTTATCGTCCATATCAAAAAAATGGCTATAAATGCTTTAAAATTGAGTACATGTCTTGGACGAAATCCTACCCTTGCAAAATGATCGTCCTTCCACTGCAAAACATCCTTTCTGCCTAACACATTACAACAATACGTTAAGTTTGCCATCTCCGTGTCATCTCGCCTCCCAGATATGATTCAAGATTAGTAATTTGAGTGTGAATAGCTTATACATATAGCCTAAGAACTAATAATAGAGTGTGTGTTGTGTGTGTGAAAATCGAATGAAGAATGATTATAATGTTTCATTTAAAATTCTAATCTTCTCCTTCGCACATTCACCATTTTGTCAGTCTTTAAAGTATTGAATTTCGCGGCAAATCAAATCTCTCATCTCTTCACAGTTTATGTACGCAAAAAGAATGTTTATACCCGGTTCAATAAAATACTGCATTGGATATGTATATAGACATTATATAGGCATCGGCACGATGAATGTGATGTAAAAAATTAATATCATCACATCAGGTTATTGTTGCCCTCTGTGTGAAAAATCATGCAGGATATGAGATTAAATTCTGTGTATCACGTTAAAAATGCTGCGTGCACAGTATTTTTGGAATGAGGAAATTGCAAAATGATCGCACGCGCGTGTTATGGTGATGCTTCACGATTGGATTTGCATGCAATTTTAACGAGTATTCCATTGCATTTGATGCTGCTTATCATATTATCTGAACCCATCTCGAAATGAATTTGCGCTGCCAGAGAGTATTTAAAAATTATAACTTTCACAATATATCGTTTACAATTATTCATTTCACTTGATATGGATCATCAGAGGCTATTCATTGCATCTTAAGTAAATAGAGTTATACAATCCCGCATCTTCTAAAACCCCCTTTTTTTATCATACAGTGATACTAATAGCGTTTCACGAAAAAGGAAAAGCATTACTTAGAGTCTTTGAAAATGGGTTTTTTTTCTTCTTTAAACCTTTGCGAGCGACTTTTTATCATATGTTTTTCATCCCTTTAAATATATGTAATTGGCAAAACCTCAGTAGAATAATGCACGGTAGTTTATGCTCTATAGTAAGTTCACGAGTTCACGTTTTTTTTTTCTTTGTTAAACACCTACAATTAAATGTTTAGGGCAAAAATTCATTCTCTCTCTCTCTCTCTCTCTCTCTCTCTCTCTCTCTCTTTTCGACCTGGAGTACAAATTCAATTGTCCAGCAATTTGCCACACCCCCTCAACATCTAACCAAACCCCGCCAATATCATTCTCCCATGCGACCTTAAATCTACGGTATTATCGGAAAAATATTCTGTAAAAACATTCTCAACGATATTAAATGCATCTTGTTGCGGATTGTTTCATAGAGAATACGTTGCTCGCGAGGCACGATCCCACTTAGTTGGCGTAGTGATCAAAGGAGCCCAGGTATTCCAGGGCGGCGCGATAGCAGAACTGATACTGATCCTCAGTCTGCACCATGGCCGGGCGCTGGGAGCGCAGAATGCGCACCGTCTGGAAGACGTCCAGCACGCCCTCGTACTGCATCCTCTCCAGCACGATGCTGAGCGTGATGAAGACCCCGGTGCGTCCCACGCCGGCGCTGCAGTGCACCGTGATGGGGCCGTCCTGGCCGAACTGCTCCTTCGTCTTGTGCACCTGCCCGATGAAGTCGATGAAGCCCTCGCCGGACTTTGGCACACCCTGCTCGGGCCAGTCGATGAACTGGAACTGTCGCACAGTGCGGGATGAGCCATCCCGTGCGTCCGTCACCTTGAACTCCCGCAGCTTGTACTGCGGCATATTATACTCCGCAATGGGATCCACAACGTAGCACTGATAGCGGACAGATCGCTCATGTGGCCAGTATTGGTAGCACTTTTCCTGCAAGAGCAAAGTGAAATGTTGACTAAATGCAGCCTCAAGTTTACGTGAAATTTGTGGATGTTTGTTGTGTTTTCAATTCTCAGCACCATAAAGAGTTACTAATTAGTCCAAGTATTGTTGAAATGTACATGAGATTAAGCAACTTTATGCAATTTTCAACGCCATACAAACACTTTGCGCCTCCCTCACAACCAATCATCAATCTATACTCTGTCTCAGTCTGTTTAAGAAGAATCACAGGCTGTGATTCTCAGCTTCTAAGAACCTAATCACCCCTTCAGTAGAATATCCACTTTCACATTGAAGAAACATTTCTCCTCATCTTCACTGTTATTGAATACGTGGAGTTGAATTGCAAATGAAGCATAGAGAGTATACGTATGATTCCACCCTTTTCTCTTCTCCACCACTCTTTAAATTTCAACAAAGATATAGGGAGAAAATGCGAGCGTCTCGCGCTTCGCTAAACAAATAATTTCGGGATTGTGTCTGCATAATTCATGCCTAAGACATCTTGAGTGTCACTCACCCGTCCCATCTCCTTGAGTTTCGTTAGCATCACCACGATTGTCGAATTGTGCTCCCACAGCATTCGCCAGAAGTCCTCAGCCGTGTCCTGGAGGGGTCCCTGAGCAGCAATGTAAGCATTCCGGTAGCGATACCTGCAAATCGGGAGAGATTTCGTTAATTTTGTGCTGTTCCCGCACACTTAGCCTCTTCCCATGCTACGCGCTTACCCATCGATGAAGCTGGCGTTTATGTAGTCACTGCCCTCGATGCCACGAATGGGACTAATGCAGACTCGACTGGATTCATAGGGTAGAATATGCACCAGGCGATTCTTGTGCTTGTTACACTGCAAATTGGCCGTAACGAAGCGTGTGCTGTCCGCTTTGATGTTGGACAACTTCTTAAACTCCACCTCCATTCCCGTGATGTTCTCTCCAGGCTCCGTTTGCATCAACTTCTGAATGTGATTGTGCAGATTTCTAGCCGCCACTTCTGTGGTTCCGCAGATGATCGCCTCCAAAATGGCATCGTGGATGAAGATATACTGATCCTCCGTCTGAACCATATAGTTTCGTTGCGCTCGCAGGCAAGTCACATGCCCGTAAATATCAATGGCCTTCTCATGCTTCATTCTCTCTATCATTGAGTCAATGACAATGAAGCACCCAGTTCTGCCCACACCAGCTGAACAGTGGACAATCACGGGACCCGAATCTGGAGGCGTGAGAGCGCGACAGCGACGTAGGAACTGAAGGAAGGGCGCCGGATGATCGGGAACACCATGATCTGGCCACGCTGTGAACTGCAATTGCTTGATTTCACGTCTCTCACCGCTGCCTTGCTTGCAGATCTGGAATGTCCGAATGCTGTACGTGGCCAGTTCCTGAGTCTCTGAGATTGTCACCGTGAGCTGTCCATAAGTTTCACTGCCACGCGATGGCCAGTACTGATCGCACTTGATCCTCGCTCTCTCCTCAAGTCGCGTCATCATGACAATGGTGGATGTCCTCAGTTCCCAACACATCCTCCAGAAGTCTGCACAGGTGTCTTGCAGCGGTCCTTGAGTGGCCACATAGGCGTTATGCTTCCTGTATCCATCGCAATAGTTGGCATTAATATAATCCGATCCTTGTGAGTCCGTCGTTGTCTGCAGAATAACTCGACTGTGATCATAAGCAGTCACATTGGCGTAGCGATTCTTTGCCTTGTTCACCTCCATGTTCGAATGATCCCACGTGAACTGCTGACCAGGCTCGATACTCTCATATTCCTGGGAGAATTTCAGATTGTCCGACGCTTTCAGGCGATCAATGTGATTGGCAAACTCCGTGATGGGAATCGGCGGATGGCTTATCATGCCCGGAGTTTGGAAGTTCAACCTCCTCATGTCCACCGGATCCGATGGAGCAGGTCCAGCTCCCAAGTCTGCTGCCATCAGTGGGCGTGTCACGGCCGCTTGATCGGGAGTCTTGCAAGACTGCCTCCTGCGCTTCATAACATAGATAAAGACAAAGATGACACACAGCAGAAGAGCCGCAATTATTGGCCCCACAACCCATAGCATTCCAGGCTCATCTGAGTTCTTATTCACCGACACTTCTGGATCGAACGGAATATTGGGTAGTGGACGATTTGGTGGCTCTCCGGGTGGAGCTTCACGCATATCCAATGCCAGAAATTCCGAGAATGGACTCGAAGTGTAGAGATGCTTCTGCGGAGTGTCCACAACAGCTCGAACGAAGATTCTGTACCTCTTCCCGCGCTCCAATTTCTTGTTCGTGAAGTTGTGGTAAATCTCCCCGGAGCCCAAGTGGAAGGTGTAGGGAATGTTCCTCTGGGGAAACTTGGCTGCAATATAGGGTGCATTGGCGCGCTCGATTCGTCGCCCTGGCAGCATGTCTTCAGTGAGGAATTGATCGGGATTCTTGTGCAAATTTGACTTATCCTCTGGCACCACGATTAGATAGTAGTGTGATATTGGACCGTACTCCTCTGATGCTTGCGGCAGAATCACTTGAATCTCCTCACCTGTGAAATCAAACGGAAACATATGAGAACAGTGACCAAATCTTAATACATGGAGTTAAAGGTAAGGCAGGATTTCCGAGGCAAGCTCGTAATGTGAGAAATCCCAGTTTATAATCCAACTTTACACTCTCCTGGGAAGCAAATCCCAAGAGACACGGCAAATTTCACTCACCATTGACCACGCCATAGAAGTCAGGCTTCACCATGGGCTGAGGAGCTGCCATTTGGGTGGTCACGGTGATTTTCGTGGGTGGCTTGTAGGAGTAGTCGGCCGGAATGGCGCTCACATTGACACTGTAGGTGGTGAATGGGGAGAGCTCATTAATCGTGTGCGACTTGACGTGGTGCTTGAGGATAATCTCCCTCTTGGGCACTATTTGCGTCTGTGTGATGCCCTGCGAGTCCACAAACTCCTTGATGGCATCGAAGGAGATCTTGTAGTTGGTGGGATTCAGCCGAATCGGCGGCGACCAATTCAGTGTCATGGAGTGAGTGCTCACATCCTGGGCACGCAAATTCAGTGGCACATCCTCTGGTTTCACCTTCACTGTGACTTTCTCACTCAGTCTCCCGAGGCCACCCTTAAATCTCGCGGCAATTGCTATCGCATACTGAGCGTACTTCTCCAGATTTATGAGGTCAGCCGACTCCGTGAGCCCCAGCACCTTCGTCTGCCACTCATCTAGATCCTCAACGGCCGTCATGGTGTAGAAGATTTGGTACCCAATGAGACGCCCTCGTGACGGCACCGGTTCCCACCACACCTCCACCGTCTGCTCAGACGTCGCCACCGCCTGGACGGACATCGGGGCTCTGCCCATGTCTCGCTCTGTCTCCACGATCACCTTCTCACTGAACGGACCGGCGCCCTGCCTCGTGTATGCCCTCACCCTGAACACATACTCCGTGTTCTCCTCCAATCCCGTGAACACCACCTTGTGGCCCGTGGTGTTTCTCTCTGTGCCCAATCCATGGTCGATCTTCTTGTGGAATTGCACATCAAAGCGACTAATCTGTCCATTCCTGTGTTCCCGATGGGGCGGATCCCAGGATATGCACACGATATCTGGTGTCTGGAATCTCACAGCAATATTCGTTGGTGGCCCATTGGGTGCGCCCTCGGGCGTCGTGTAGTACTTCACAGCCTCCTGACCAATCCCAATATGATTCATGCCCGCAATCCTGAACTCATACTCCACCCCACGCTCGAGATCATTGAATCTCTTCGTGTTCACCTGAGCACCCTGGATGACCTCCTCGTTGAGGACGTGATCCTTCATGCCCCAGCGCAAGCGGTATCCCCTCAACTCCCCGTAAGTCTGCTTCGGGCGCTCCCATTCCAACTCAATGGACACTGTTGGATCTCGCAGAGCCTTCAAATTCACCACTGGACGCGTTGGCACTCCTCCCGGAGTCTTCACGTTGATTGGCAAGCTTCGATCGCCGTCACCCTTGCGCGTGAGAGCGGCCACCTGGACGGAGTAGCGAGTGTCCGGCTGCAGACCTGTCACATTGTATTCCAGGCCCTCCACCACGTCGTACTTCAGAGGCTCATTCAGGAAGCCTTTGCCCTGTGAAAAAATATTCAATTCGGGCTCCTTGTTATGCGATATTTAAACGAAATTATAGTGTTTAGAAAATTTGTGTTTTGTATTTCTTTTCACATTTTGAAGAACACTAAAATAAAACAAATTGCACGCAATTCTCGACACTTATGAAGCAAGTAAACTCGCTTATAATTCAATTATTTGAATGGAAGAAACCTTGCCAGATTGTGGTGCAATTGATTTCCACAGTTACTTTTTGTTGAGCACAGCACAATCGGTCGTTTCGCACAACACAGTTATAGTTTCAATCAAGACAGTGAATTTTAAATTAAATTCTTCCCAGGAAGTGGAAAAAAGAAGATGGTTTCGAGGCGAAAGAGTGATTGAGAAAGTCTCTCGAGAGATTCAGCAGTCAGTTCTTGTGACTTGTCGAGGGAGAAGTCAAATAAAACACATATATAGTGTTTATATGAATGTCGGTACTTTAATAAATCTTCAATACTTTTGCCGGTAACTTGAGAATCGCTTGTTGAATATTTATTGCAATTTTATCAATAACCTTTCTCGACAATAACATGGCAGTGCTAAGAGCAAGTTTTACCTGGAACAGTCAAACCCCATCGTGTTGCAATATTGATGCAACTGTAGGGAAAATACTATAACATTATCAGGGGCGATTTGTATTTAAATTTTCAACATTTCCTGGAATAATTGCTCGGGATAAAATGTTTATGGTGAACTCCCATTGGAATGTTCACGCTTGCTCAAAGATTCATGAGTGGTTGGGAATCGATAAAAAATTTCCAGCGGAAAATTTCCACAACTTGAATATTTCAATTGTTAATAAAGCGTAGAGTTTGTGCTCACCTCTTCTTTCAACTCTTGAATGTGAATGTGGTAGCCACGAATGATGCCATTGCGATCCTTCTCAACCGGTGGCTTCCAACTCACGTGAATTGATGTGGAATTGAGCGGAATTGCCTTCACATCTTGAGGATCTCCGGGCACTGTTAATCGTTCACAGGATGAGAAGTGAGAGAAGAAGAGAAGAAAACCAGAATGTTAAACAAATCATGGAAGGTGAAAATCAACACTGCGGTCAATATTGCTAAATGTAAAGAAAAAAGTTCTAAGAGATAGAAGTATTGTGTCTCTGATAAACTCTGAAATTAGCCATGTTGCCAATATCAAACCTCTGAAGCGTTCTATTTGATATCTTTCCATTTTATATTATTATTGTTTTCTTTTTGAGAAACTGAATCTCTCTCGCTTTGACCAATTGGCTGATTAATTTAATTCAATCTAACCAGTTATTTTCTCTTGAGTGGTTTTTCCTCTTTGAAAATTGCTTTTTTCTTCTTTTTCATCTTTGTTTTGCTCTCTCTTTTTTTTTTGGATACATTTGAATACCAAGAATGAGTCTTCTTCTATCAAGCATACAACCATTTGTATTTTATATCGTATGCAACCTTTCACGCAGACATACCTGGCCTCCGAGGCAATTTTACTTACAAATATAGCAACTAATTATATCATTGATTAAAAGTGAATTAATTGCTTGGAACAAATTAAAGGAATAAATCTACTAATCAGTCGAAAGATATGCATGATTAATATAAAAATATATATCTCGATTATATATATGAATAAAAGAAACATAAATGGTTAGGGTTAGTTTGAGGGAGGTTCATCTACGTATTCGCAAAGAAATGCTGCTGAAATTCCTCTCTCTCTCTCAGAGCGTGGGAGGTTTTGGTGAAATAAAAATGGGTTTCCGGAGATGAAAAGAAATCATAAGTTGCTGCTAAGATAAAAAGGCGCAAAATTGATTCTCTTTCTATAAGATGTCACACACACGAGAGATTTTTCTTATGGTACTCACTCTTTGCATCTGGCATGAGGACACAATCCATTAACAACCGTTTTCGTGTGCGTGTTTTAATTACATGGTTTTAATGGCGAGAAGGGGTTTTTGCAGAAAAAATCGCGCGCAATGTTTTTCATTCAAAAAATATTGCATGATTTAGAGAGTGTATTTTTGAGTGCAAGTTTGATTCACGCATGAAGAAATATCAGGATGACATCGCCAGCATTTGAAAAAAGTATACAAAAACACAAAAAGTCATTAAAAACATTATTTTTAGATGAATTTGTTCGATAGAGAAATGTTATTCATTCATGAGCATCAAATATTCTAACAAAAATAATCATCTCTCTCTCTCTCTCTCTGTGTTTTCGTCTGTTGAACTTCAACATTGCAAAAAGACCACACAAAAATCAATACGCAAAAATAGTGGGTTATGTGGAGAAAAAGTCCATTATATATTATCATACGAGTATGCACACAATATGCTGTCGAATTCCGGAGTGAAATGGAGGGAAATTGTCTGAGGAGTTCCGAGTCCATTTAAAAATCAATTAGGAGATTGTAAAAGCACGATAGGAGAGAGAGTTTTGTAATTATCATTCGCAAAATTTTATTTGCAACTACTTCACAACCACTCTCATTTTATCCCTCCCTTTTTCCCACTATGCATAAAACATTTACACTGTCGAGGGAGGCTTTTTTCTGCCCCCACGAGAGGTTCGTCATATCGCCTCTGCAGCTCAAATACTTGACTCGAAAATACAACCACATCACGCGATTATGAATTACCAGCAAATAATTGCCAGTTAGAATGCAACTCGTCACACAATTTCCCTCCAAATACCAATTTTGTAAATTCTTCTCTCTCTCTCTCGCTTTTACTTCTCTGTTGGGAAAAAATGCCTTTTCTTCAGTTGTGGAGGAAAAAACTACACAAAGTCAGAGTGTGTGTTTGTGTGTGTGCCATATAAATTACGATGCCATATGACGATTCATCCTTTGGCGACAATTTTATTGTTGCAATTTATTATGCGCTGAAAAAACCTACAGGACTCCCTCTTACACATAGAGGGATTTTTTAGAGCATTAAAAAAAGTACAAGGAAACGAAAGTAATCACTGGGTGTGTTGATGCGGGGAGGGTTTGGTGGAAAAGAAAGAGGAAATTATGATGTTGTATTATTAGATTTTTCAAAAGAATATCAACCTGCCAGTATTGCTAATTTCATATAGGAAAACTGGATATACCAAACAGAAAAGGTTTCAACGTATAAAAGAATTGCCTGTTCACTCGCACATGGTTAATTGCATTTTGGTCTTACAAATGAAAATTCACATCGTTTCTCTGTGTACATTTTCCTGGGAGAACCTTTCTCAGTGTCTTATAAAATAAAGAAAAAGGGATATTTCAGGAGTTTTCTTCTGTGTACATGTACATAAATGCTTATGATTGAAGGAAAAACTAAAATATCTAAATTGATTTTCCGTGTTTCTTGCTAAAGTCATGTTCACATGTATCACATATTTGATCCCACAGAATATTCAGAGTTTTCAAGTCTACACCCTTAGACTAGATTGTACATGATTTTGAAGACGTGTTTAGGGATGTGCATTCAAGAAAATTCAGAAAATACTAGTAAATTCAAGTGAAGAATAGAAATTATTGAAATCTTGTTTAAATGAACAGATTTTATTTTGTAAATAAAATACGAAATTCATTGAGTTCATATAATTTAGTGACATTTTTTAGACCTAATCGCAAAAGTGTCACTTTGTGAACTTAAGAAAGAGTCACATATTTCAACGTATTTTTAATTCTTATTGAGATTATTGGAAAAAAGGAAAGAATTGTTCGTATTATTAAGGATGTTCTGAGAGAAAGTCTGAATATTTGATGGGATCAAATACTTTAACACGTGGATAATACTCAAGGGAGGAAAAGCCCATATCATAAAACTCACACTCGTGAGTTTGTATCCAAACAGAAATCAAGACAATTGGTATTCAAATGTCGTTCAATTAATCATCTTTTAGCATAAGATTTTTCTTTAAAGCTCGTTTCCTAAAATACAATGTTATTTTGCCCATATTTGCCTTTTTTACACCATTTGTTGTCACTATTTCTTTTATTGATTGAAGAACACAATTTTGAAACCCCGATTCGATAACTTTTTTTCAATTACAGTCAAAATACGGATATTAAATAAACCTTCGTTCATAATACGTCAACTAAAAAACCCAATCGATTTTCACGCCACACGCAATTTTTGTTCGTTTGTTAAATATTCACACTCAAAACACACCATACACACAAAGTAATTAAAAACTATAAAAACAGCAAAACTTCATTACAGCGAATTTCACATATTCCTGCATATTTTATTATATATTTGATAAAAAGTGTGGACAAAAAACGTGGGCCCAAAGAAAAAAAAATGAAAAATCTGTGCGAAATTCTGGTGCAAAATTCATATAAATCAATTAATTGAATTCAATTTATTATGTGGCTTCTATAGGGCATTTAAACCACTTACCCCAAAATGCAATGCTGAAAAAATTTTTATAACCATAAACAAACATCAAATATCCGTCCTCAAAGTGCTCTTTTTCAAAAGTACCAAACTGTGTTTGTGCCAACATAAACATGGTGCTGAGAGACAGAAAGTGACTTCCCAAAAAAATATTATGCAAGTGCCATTCAAAGAATATACAACATTTCGTCATAATGAAGTTTTAACAGGCTGTTTTTCATCACCGTTCAAATCAAATTGTGCTCTTTAATACCGGTTCTCATATTTGTTTTTTTTTTGATAAAAAGGGCAACAAGTATTATATAAATTGAAAAATTAAAGTGCTTGTGCGTGATTCAATATAAAGATCATATCACAAATAAAGAAACACAACGTGATTATTAGTTGGAAGATTCATTTTATGATGTTTGGTGCTCTTTATCTACCCATTTACTCATTGGCCAATTGAATAAAAATTTAAAGCTCCTTTTAGGCATGCAATGAGTGCATTTTGAATCACAATCGTCCCAATTATTTTTTTCTTTTTTTTGTGAATAGAATCGCGAGCGAAATAGCGTTGTAAAGAATAATTTTGAATTTGTGCTTCTCAGTGAAAAATCATTTATATCAGCGACAAGAGGTTTTTCTTCTTCACTGTCTAAATATTTGCTCATCCCCAATGCACAGAGACATGATTTCAAATTCATGAATTTAATAATGCTTCTCTCCTTTCCCACCACCAGCTTTTGCCCATCAAACTTCTTCGTCTTCATTTAATTTTCCGTCTTCTGACTTTCTTTTCAGCCACCTTCAGTCAACTATCACATCTCTGTGCGATTGGGAAATGGCATAGACGGGATGAGGAGGTGCTGATGGTGTACTTTTTCACAAATACAGTGAATGTGAGGGAAGAGATTCAGGACATCTGGGCTTTTGGGTGATGGGATGAAAACAAATTGTGAGAGAAAAAACTTGACATGCATTAGAAATTTGCATTTCTTCGATGCGTGTTGGTATAGAATGAAAAAATAAGAGACAAAATAACAATTCCGTAATAACAAAACAGCAACACATCTTTTCTTCTTTCCTTAATCTGTTATCATTTCCAGAAATCATATGTATTCTTTCAAACATAAAATAAAACCAGACTAAAACAACTTGTAAAAACTCGTAAATCAAAAAATATTTATATACTCTCATCAAAACCAGACAAATTGTGAGGTGTGAGTTATAAAAAAGACAACAAAATTTGGTGCGCAGAGACAAGTACTAGTAGAGTCAAGGGTTTAGCTTCAAACTCTTTTGGCATTCGTGGGTGGAAAAAGTGAAAAAAAACATAAAACGCACTAGTGATAGAGTGATCGTAAAAAATAATCATACCACAAAAATCTGGGTGCAATATTGTGTCTCTATCGAAGTTTTCTCATCTCATAATGCAATGTGCCAATAATTGTGGATATAAAATGTTATAAATTTCACAGAAAACGAAACAACCAACCAAATAAAAGATAATAAAACACACAAACATAAATTCAACAGAAGAGTGATTGAAAAATCATATGCGAGTGTCGGCCAATAGAAAATTGTGAATACAAAAACAGTGAAATTGATAAGGTTCGAAATAAACAAACGGAATATATAATATGTACATAGAGTGAATAAACTATAAATGACAATTTATACTGTGCTTCACACGTCAAATAGTCAATATCAATAAATATATTGTGAAATATATTCAATAGATACAAAGTAAAAAACCTTAAACACTTGGCAAATCCGGAGGAAACCTCTGTGTTGGATCCATCAAAAACCGTTGAAATAAAAATTACAATATAGAGATTATTATTGATACATGTGCATTAGGTTAATATTGCCTTCACAAATTGGGTCAAAAAAGCCTCATTTGCTCTCCCACAAAAATGTGCGCTGCAAAAAATACTTTTATTGTGCACTCTAGAGATAAGAAATATGGGGTGAGTTAGAAAAAAAACAGAGATTAGTTGTTTTCTAGATTAGTAAATATCACAAAAATACGTCATCATAATAGACATCAAAAATCACATTGTCTATCATAAGTACAAAAACATGGTACAAAAATTTTTCTTTTCTTTCAACTCTGCGACAACCTGAAAGTTCAAAAATCCATTAAAAATCTCCTTTCAAAAAGTCATAGGATTGCTTAAAAACAATGAAATAAACCAGAAAAAGTAGTAAAAATCATTGTTTTAAATATTTTTTTGCAAGATAACCAAAAACGAAAAACAGACCTAACGACAAAAGGTCAAAGAAAAAGCATTTTCAAAAAAAACAGGAGAAAATATAAAACAATAAAGAAATAAGGAAAAAACGTCCTGAATTTTTGATATAACAATTATAACATTAGAACCCATTGAGTGAACGATAAAACGGAAATCATGGTGATAACATTTATAAGTATACAATGTGGTAAAAAGTGATGCAAGAATTTACATACCATCTTCATGTGTACGGACAGTGACTGGATAGGATTTCGGTCCATCGCCAACACTTGTTCCAGCAAGAACCCAAATCTTGTATTCAGTCCACTTTTTTAATTCGTCCAATACGATTTCGGTCGTGTTCAGTGTTGTGACAGTTGCCTCACTGTCCGACTGACCGGCCTCCACAAAGAACACTTTGTAATAGATTATGCGTCCATTCGATCGCTCAATTGGCGGTGGTTGCCACGAAATCGCAATAGTCGTTGCACTTGTGGCTTCTGCCGTTATATTGCGTGGCGGTGCTCCAGGTACTACGGTTATTATTGGGAATTTTGTTTCATTCAACACAAGAGGCGAATTGCAATTGGACGAAATAAAAAGAAAAGAAAGAAAAAAACACAAAACAAATTAAAAAGGGTTGAAATTGGAAAAAATACCAGGAAATACAACAAATGTAGAAATAAATCCCTTCACAAGGTGAAGTGATTTCTTTCCCATTCTTCTTACAGGAGTGAAAAGCAAAAGGAAATTATAGAAAACATAAATGGATAAAAAATACGCACTATATAATTCTTCAGATGCGCTTTTCTACTCCATATGTTTCAACCACAACTCAGGATAACCAAACAAAAGAGCATAAATAATATAAATATCAATTGAATGCTTCCTGGAATTTACAATGTATCAACATTATGCTGCGAAATCAAGTGATTTCCAACAGTTTCTGTATCATCTTATTTTCTCTTGCTCGTTTTTCCACCGTCAATTTTTTTTTCTTTTCATACTGATTATGAGAGAAAAAAACAGGGCGGGTGAACACAGATCAAGATGTTAAGGAAACAAGAAAACCAAAAGATATATATATATATATTTATATATATTGACAAACTAAAGCACTTTTCTTTCCTTCAAACTAAACAAATAACATATGTAGAGTTCTTCTCTCTCCATAATACCATACATTCAAAAAATCAGTGCTCTTTGGTGCAGACATAAAGAAAATAAAAATTCAGTGAAAAAATAATGACATGCACTTTACTTTCCGTCATATAGAAAAAAAATGTATATATAGATCCTTCAAGCATTCGTACGACACTCACTCAAGCCATATAGAACCCATTACCAATGTTGGCATGACTTTTTTTCTTCTTATTCTTGTCTTTTCCGCCTTTGTCGTCACTACAATTTATTTTTTTTGCTTCTTCTATTTATGTATCAATTGTGAATGATTTGTTCTCTTTTGCTTAGGGTTGATATTGCTGGCATGATTATCTCTTCTTCAGAATAAACAACAACATATACATAGATATATTCTGATGTCTCTCCCCATAATAGAATATAAGATTTCATTGAAATAATATCACCCACTTCTGCGAGATATTTTCCAACGAAATCCCCTCCCTCAATTTTACCTGGTTCCACTGGGCATTGAATAATTTATTGATATCACTTATGCTTGCTCAATAATCTCCAAAAAAATTCCTCAAGCTCCCAAACTACCTCTCCATTAATGGACCACACCCTCTCTCCTTCCCCGTCACCCACAAACTGTACAGAGATTGTGGTGTGAATTTATAAATTATATCCTTACCATACTGCTTCGTGCGAACGGGAATCGGCGGCGTGGTGGCACCTTCGCCCCTCTGCGATCTCGCGGCCAGCCAAATATAGTAGAGAGTGTCAGGATATAATCCAGACAAATTGTGACTCTCAGTATTACCAATGCGTCTGCGAAATAGAATGGAGAAAAAAATTTGCATGAGAGCAAAATCACAGTTGAATATTCCTCCAATGGCAAATCGCATGAAAAATTAAATGCGGTTTCCTATTTATAGGCACTTATCACGACCCTTTGCATATACACACTCCATCCATAGCATATTAGAGTGGGAGATTTCACAGGGAATTTATGAAATTTTGAATAAAGCCAGAGAAACTACACGTGGAGTGGTGTTATACCGCAAAAATTTAATCCATAGCTTCGCATTTTGACTGAACACCTTCTAAATTGATCTATTTTCACAGACGAAGCGAGATATCTCAGCGGGCGTCATTTGAGAATTTAACCTTTCCATTCTCTTACAGCCCAGCAAAAGTGATAGCTTGCTGAAATTTATTTAAAGGATATTCTCCGAAGCACCCAATTAAAAATTTGCCATATCTTTTCCCGGACAGTCGGGAAAACCTAATTTAAGAAATGAAATATTCAAGAAAAAGTTATATGTTAAGCAGCTTTCTAAGAATTTTCACAACTGCTCAATGTCCACAAATTTCTTCCTTACTTGCACACATTTTGCCTGAAGACTGAGAAAAATGCAAATATGTTGCTACAGTAAATAAAGTCACCTCCCAGAGGGCAATTTCCGTGCTTCTTCTCCCTCTTTAACATCAAACAACTTGATTCTCGAACACTGGGGTAGCACAACTTTAAAGTGTGCCACATTGCGAATGCTATCCATATTCTGGTCAGAGTGAATCAATCAGTAGAGAGAGGTGAATAGTTTCGGGTAAAATGTGTTCACCACTTTTGCCATTTCATATTGCCAACATCGATGAAGTGAAATATAAATAGCATAGAATATGTGTGTATACTCACTTATGATGTTGCTCATTGGCGTATGTATCATTCCAGTACAGTTCATAGTGAACAATATTTTCACCGGAATGCAATGGCTTCGACCAAGATAGCGTCACAAATGTCTCTCCAATATCAATTGCCCGGAAATTACTTGGCTGCGATGGTACGCCTGATGAGATTGAAAAATAAATATTATTATTATTAACTAGGCTCGTTAAATATTATTAAAATGAACAATACTAATGGGCCAGTCGCTCCACTCGCCATTCCCGCCCACTCAATTAATTACCTTGTTGGGTTTTCACTTGCACCGGATTCGACATCGGTCCGGGACCCATGGACGTGAACGCCTGCACACGAACAGTGTAAATGGCGTGTGGCGTTAATTCAGATATTGTTGTTAACTCGCTATTGTCTACCATTTGGGAGTCCCACGATGCCTCCGGTTGATTAGGATTTGTCGTATAGTAGACTTTATAGCCCTGGATTGGAAGTAAACATCACGTGGACAATTATATCAACACTTCAAACAAACTCCCTTCTTTTCCATCCACTTTCCCATACCCCAAAACATGCTATCCCATCCGTTTCGCTCCCGGACGCGAATTGATGTTTGATGGGACAATTGAGGGCCCCAAAACATCTCAATAGATATCACTCAAGTGGAACAAAAGGACCTTTTTATCGAGTTTGTTATCTTAAATTCACTTTCCAACCATTTCTGTCACCTTTTCCCTTCTTTTTCCCACCATTGACACAAATGCACGGTGAATTGGGGGTGGATAATAGAAAAAGATGGGTAGGTATAGAAGAAATGTTTCAGGATTCCTTTTTTCGGCACATCACAGATGCCTCCTCTCGTGGGACTTTGCCAAGGCAATAAATCCATCCTGAACAATTTGTATATAAAATGTAGTTTCCTCTTATTTCATGAACGAGAAAAGGTATTTTTAAACTTCCCAGAAGAAGATGCTTTGGCGAATTATAAAAAAATAATTTATTGGACATTTTGTCAAGATACTATAAATGATTACTGATTGCAAACACTATCTTTTTAATTATTTATTCATTAGTATTTTTCAAACATCCAGAATTCTTTATAGTGTGCTCTTTATTAAAACCCAAACTTTCTCAAAAGTATCTTAATCTGTCAATCTTTAAGGGGAGAAAAACTTGAGAAATACTTTTTGTGCAACACAAGTTATTGTTGCATCGATTTTATCCGGAAAATTAAAACTTCTTTTCAAGTTGCAATTTTCAGGCACTTTCTCATCAAGTATGAAGTATACAATATTGTATCTCCAATGTACACATTAATCTACCTCTTCCCACTATGCATTTTCCAATATGTTTTCTATTTGCACAACTTTCCCATCTCTTGACGTTCACGGGCTCAACACAGAAAAAGGATACACAAAACCCATAGCGAAGTCTGTGTCTGGAGAGGAAGTGGCATCTCCGAGAGGCTGAGTCTTCTTCCTCCTTGTTCTACACCCCATACACTTGAACGAACGACTTTACTAGGATACACTTTCCCTCGAGATTAACAAGCTTTTGAGCATCATAAATTATTTGATGTGATGCCGTTAAAACGCATGGAAGTTATATAGTCACACTCTTCACTCTTCGCGTGCGTCTTATAAAAATCCCAATCGCAATCGCATATGGATGTAAATTTAAGGGCATCCGCAAATGCTATGGCAAAATGTGGTCAATAATTTGTTTTATACTCACTCCCACACCACTCTGCAGCTGTAAAACTCACCGTAACTTGGCCATTTGGCGTTTCAGGTGGCTCCCATGTAATAACCATGGTTGAAGAGCTGAGCGGACGCACTTGCACGTTTCTCGGCGCACTTTCCATTTCTAAATTGCATGGGAAATAATGAAAAATTCAGCATTTTAGGGTATGCTCTCTGGGCACAGTTAAATGAAAAGTGCAGCTCTCTCAAGTTGCCTTGAGTGAAGAAAATAAAATACATATAGTATAAAAAGAGAATTTTTATGAGAGAAACTTACTGGCACCTCCAGTTGTGAGCTTATTTTTTATATCGTTTACATGAATGTGTCGGGGAAGAAAGAGAAGTGGGTGGAAAATAGTCAAAATTAGAAGCGATTTCTCTTCACAAATAGAACCAATAATTCACTGTGAAGTGTACTTACAGAACAAAGAATGTGAGACAGGGAGAATCCAGTCAAAAAATCCCGGCAGTTTGTTCGCAAATGGTGAAAAATATTTAATAATGTTTATGGAGGAGCTTTGCATTGTTAAATCTCAATTCCCACACACTCGACACTCTCATGGAGAGGAATAAAAAAGAGAAATTGGACAATAAAGACTCGGGGTAAGAAGGAGTCAATTTGACTCTCTGCAGCAATATATTTTGACTTATTAGCTGATTAGTGTTGTAATTGAGTGAAATGAATTCCATTCTCGTTGCATTTTCTTGCCGGGGTGAAATCATTTTTGCAGAAAATGTGTGTACGTGTTGGGAAGGAGGAAAAATGTATAAACACATTACTATCCCATGCATGGGGCGAGGCTATGCTATACTATTTACTCGGTAATAAGACAGTTAGGCAGTCACTTGGGGCTCCTTCTCACCCATTATATAGGGGGCAATAATTTACAAGAAATTATTACCTGTTTCACCCGTTGTGCATGTGGCTGGAATCGAAGGTGGTCCACGTCCAATATTGTTAACACCAATTACATAGAATTCATACTCTGTGTATGGACTCAGGCCACGGATAACATAAAACATCGTAATTATGCCACTTATTTCACTGAATGCCTGAAATTATTATTTATATCATGTATAAGTATTTGGTCTATTTACTCGCCTCCTCGACAACATACACTCTATATTTTCCAGGGATGGAAAAAGGAAGGAGGAAAGAATCCCCCCGCGAAATAACATGCTATTGAATCACACTACGATGATTTATATCCCATTGAAATTTCTTAATAGAATCGTTTCAAACACTTCTGCTCGTTTCTCAAAATAGGATTATATGGATTCCCACCTTTAGAGATTTTCAAACAGAATAAATTGCTATAAAATACTTAACGATAGTTTCTGAAGATACTCATCACATCTCGCAAATTGATCTGACAGACACTTTGCAAAACCACAAATTATATCATGCAAGAACCAGAGAAAGAAATCCTGTCAGCACATTCCGCAGAGCAGAGATTTCTTATCCATCTTACTAGGGAAAATGCGATGAAGCGAAGTGCTGTTATGAGAAGTGTTGGCAAACTATTCATTTTGCATTTTACGATTATTTCCAATCCGATCATCGAACAACAAATGGATTTATTTATGAACAGAAAAAAACCTTGATTATGGGATTTTTTATTTTGATATTGTGTACTAAAATCAACCAGACAACAAGTGTTTCCTTTGCGATAGGCTTCATAACACCCATGTCTTGAGTCATTGGCTCTGATGTCTAGGTCGAGACCTCTCTAAATAGGGGTCACATTCTGATATTGAGGCAAAAGAACCATTATTATGGCGGTAGAAAGTTTTTGCTCCTGCCCAGAGTTCAGATCTTCTCAACTCAGTTGCCTCTAGAAATTCCAGTTCATAAGTTAAGTTACACAAATGCTCGACCATATTTTTTCCAATGGTAATTCAACCTCTAAACCAGTTCGGGTGTGAGAGAGTTGAAAGATGAACCCAAGCAAAGGGATAACAAAGTTCATCAATCAATATTGTTGGCACGATACGGGGGACAATTAGCTAAAGTTAGTGTGCCAAACAAACTCTCACCGCAAGTGAGGTATTTCCAAAGAGCATACCCGACAATCTCCCCAGAAGCCCTCGCTCCCTTTCCACCCAAGCAAAGTGATGGCCAAAAGCTTTTGGTGAGGATTGAGGAGGAATTTGGGGCTGGGATTCGGCGTGTTTTTCACTCACCTGATTGGCATTCTTGGGCTTATACTGGATAACATAGTATTGCAGGTCTTCGGGTCCCTTATACGACCACTCAAGGCGTACCGATGTTGCTGTTACTTCCGAAATGGAGACTTCTGTCGGTGCCGTGGGGAGGGCTAAAGCACCCGATGGAGAGGAAAAAGAATCATCACTCGGTGTACTCAGTAAATCTCTTAGAGGGCAAACTTACACTGAACTTTCACAATTGCCGGAGCATCAATTATTCCTAGAGTTGAGGCAGCAATGCATGTATAATTTGCACTATGTTGAATGTTTGTCAGCTCTAAAATGTTCCGTCCAATCGGTAGTTGATCGTCTGGTGTCAATTCCTGATCACCTGCACGACAGATGGAAAAATATTATTTGAATAGACCATCTCTGTGGGCGACTATGAGCATCTTCGCCACCCCCTCCTTACCTTTTCGCCACTTCACATAGGGCATCGGACTCCCAACTGCGACACATGTGAGCGTCAAGTTGGATCCCAGCATCACTTCACTGAGAGCCTCCGGACGACGAGAGAATTGAGGTGGAACACGTCGAACTTTCACATACAACACTGTTGGCTTTGAATGCTCAGTCCCAACTGGATTTTCCGCCACACATTCATATTTTCCCATATCATCCTCTTCGCTGTTATTAATCTGAAGATCTCCTCCTGCCATGAGAAAAAAAGAACACCGAGCCAGCATGAGAAAAAACTTTCCTCCACGACTATACATTTGATTTGTTGCTCTCTAAAACAAGTGTGTGAGATTTCTTGATTTATTGTGTCCATTGGAAAAATATTAGATAATTTCTCTTCAAAATAGCACCCCAGAGAGAGAGAGAGAGACGAAACATATAGATAAGACAGGGAAATTTTCCCATCGCTTCCCACACCAAAGCCCCGAGAAAACATTCCATTTTCATCACGTTAATCCAGGATGGTACATTTTAACATGGCCACGAGGTGGTGGTAGGCAGGAAAAAAAGAGCACACGAAAGAAAATCAATAGCAAAAAGTCACGTTTTTCTATACACAGATTGTGCTGACGACCATTAAAAATCGTGATTCTCTACTTAAAAGATAATTTTTCTAAAATCACGATTTTTTCCTTTCTTTTCCACCCACACCCGCGTACCTTTCGTCGCGTCCCACAATGTAAAACACATTTTACCCCATTTTCCTTGGCACTCTTGCAGAAAATACGCCCGCATCAGCATAACAACAATTGTATAGTGATCAGAAGGGAAAGTAACTTTCGCGGGAAAACAATTCATTTTCACCAAAGGCATAGAAGTATTGGGCAAAAAGTAGCTTCAATGTTGGCAGGAGCACGGAAGACTGTGACAACTCGAATTAACATACTTCACTGATCTTTTATAAGAAAATAAACAGTTTTGGTAACCCAAAAAGCCGAAAGATAAGAATAAAAACATTTTCGTAAACAACTCGGAAAATTAGAGGAAAATTCATTGGACTCCAATCGAATCGACGAGTGGTATTTAAGAGAAATTTTATGTGTGCAATATTCTTTCTTGTAATATTCTACGCACTCCGGAAATTTAATCTCACAGAAACTTTGTAATATACATAAATTAAGGAAGTGGAAACAATAAAATAGAGAATTATAATACTCACCATCGCTCATAGAATATCGAGGATTAGTCATATCTACACGTTTGGAATCCTTCAGCCAATACAGCTTAGGAATTGGATTTCCGCTCGCTTTGCATTGCATCACAGCTGTGTGCCCAATTTCAATAACTCTGGTGCTCGGCCGCTGAACCGTGATTACAGGAAATCCACTTGGAGTTTTGTCAGCTGCAAAATGGAGAGAGAGAGAGGGAAAAAAATAAAATGGAGAATTATCGCCAAAGCAATAACGTATTGTTTCTGAGACAGAACCGCACAAAAACACCCACCCTAGACATCCTCCCCATCCACTCTTTTGCAATTCTCGCACCGCATCTGACTTGTGGCTGACTCGGTAAAATATACACAGAGAGACATTTCAGTTCACCAAAATGAAGGAGCCAGAAGAGGATTCCTTCTCTCCCAGTCAGCTATACTTTTCCCAACTATACAAGCAACATTTGAGGATGTGATAAAAATCACAATGAATACTGCACGAGAACTCACGAAAGCACGACCCCCTTCTTCTCACAAATCCGAGGTGAAGCTTCAGCACAAGTCGTTGATTTTAATTCAAGACTTGTGAATGGATAAATCCTTCTTGAAAAACAGCAGGATTGTCTTTTTGAGCTTATTTTGAACAACATATCCGTCGCATAGCACACAAAACCATCTCCATGTGTGGAATTTGGCAACACTCAAGAAATACTCTACGTAATTAAAGGAAAATCTATTAACTCGAGACAATCCTTCACAAGAAGTGAAATCCATACAAGAAAACACAAGTCGGAAAAAAAATCCCCAAGAATGCTCATATTCTACAACCGGAAAATGTTTTGTGAAAGATAATACGACCCTAATTATCCTTCCATGTCCTTCCCCGTCGTTTGATCTTGAGAAGAAATAAATTTAAAGGAAAAAAAGCATGTCGCTAGAGAATAAAAACGTCACCATCTGGTCAGTGAATCGCATGCAGTGAACAATTATTTCATTTGCACTTCTCGACAAGATCATCTAAAGTTTTTCTTCATTTTCACACTCCAAGTCACTTTGGAAATGATTGTATAATCACAATGCGATGAGAGAGGGCGAAACTCTCAGCCAGAACATCATTTTTTCCCCTCCGCAATGCAATGTTCTTGCGGTCGACACCCAGGAAGGAAGAATGATGTTGAAAGTGGGAAAAGGGGTGTGAGTGAGAAAGGGAGGGTAAACACACTGTTCATTATGAGTTCCCCTCCTCTCGTCCCGTGCACACCCAATCCTTATACCGACTATCATATTGCACAACAAATCTATTTATCTTACAATTTGCAATAAAACACGGCAATTTCACCGATACTGTACAACTCTCACTCTCTGCACCTCGTATTGAGTGTGAATTGTGTGAAATATGCAAATGCTATACAAATATCCCTTCTCTCTCTCGAGTTGGTAACAAGGCTGGAAATCTCAACGCATAAATTATTGCCCACATAGTAATTTTCCTAAATTATCCATTTTCACTACAACTTTAAGTTAACACATTTTCCACCTATACTGCACTATAACATCCTCTTTCCCCTCAGACGAGAGCGACTTTTCCGGTTATTCCTACTTACCACACATCATGAAAATTATTTGGATTTCTACTCCTATAATTATCAATAATAAATTAGTTGGGAGGGCAAAACTTTGTCCCAACTCGCCCTTATACTGTATATGTTATACACTCTGTTTGTGATGGCTGATTTAATTTTGCAACTTACACCATTTTCAACAATTTTCATCGCACGAGAAAATTACAAAATTGTCCACCACCTCCCACATGTCCACCCACAAAAGCTTTAAAATTTAAATATTTCCTGGTGACCCCAACACGATGTATTTCTTCGACCACCGCCAGAGTGCACTGCTGTGGCATATATCTTGTTTCGGTCGCATGACACGAGGATTAGAATTGTCATGAAACCTGCTGCAATACTGCAGATAGAGCAACACGAACTAAATAAAGATTAACACGCTTTCGTTAGGTATGTAAGAAAAAGTGTATGACATTCACATCTCTACAATACCTTTAAGTATTACATTAAAGAAATTATTCTTAGTTTGAAGGATCTGTAAATTTCCTTTCGTCGATCTTTAAAATTAAAATATTTTTATTTTCCACAATATAAACTTTTCTCCTACGTCTTGTTTTGTAATAAACATAAATTTTTCATTTGACGCTTACCACGCGCTCTGGCACAAAGCCTTTCATTTGAGGTATCAAAATGGCTAAAAATACATAAATCTTCCTTCATAACATTCTGAAATTTCACACCTTCCCTTAAAAAACTATGCCGTCAAAAGGAGCATAAGATGCTTATCGACGAAATTCAGAAAGTACCATCAACTCTGAAATAATTAACTTTATACCACACCTCGTAATGTAAAAATATCCCACAGAAGACAATTTTCCGTGGGGGTTCCAACTGAGACAAACCGTTTTCAGAAAGTTGAGCGCAAAGTGACGGGAATGCCAGGCAAACTTCATAGCTAAAATACCAATCAATGGGGTGAACTTTCGTCTCCCTCGTGAGATGTAATACAAAATATCTCAGTTTTACAGCAAAATATCATTAAGAATTCATGACATCGTAATATTGTGATATCTACACCATAATTGTGTTTATGAAATATGAATCTCTCAGTTACTTTGTGGTGGAGAAAAGTGGTGTGGCTCCATAAAAGCCAGGTGAGATGCTCGAGAATTGGGGGTGTGTTATATGCACAGAGAGACAGAGAGAGTGTTGGTCCCCACAAGTGAAAGAGTTTTATATATAAAAATAACTTGAGAACTAAATAAATACACATAAAATTGCTGAAAAGTGTCACACATGGGAGAGACAGATACTGTATGTGGGTGTCTCATTTTTATTTCTCACCTGCCACGGAATCGCACAATCTCATCATCATAACTAAAACACCCTTTTACTTTTATTCCTCCACTGCTCTTTTTTCGGGCTGGGAGAGAGTTTATATCCAACATGCACGTATAGATAGTGCGGTTGGCTGTTCCCGAAGGTCGCCCTGGGAGTTGGAATATTTTTCTTTTCGGAGCAACCCCCGAGACACTATGGCAAGTGAGGAGGATACCCTTAAAAGTTTCAATGGAAAATAAGAAGACAAAACATGGGAAAGCTATATTACTTGATGTGTATTCATGTTCACGTCTCTTTTTTTTCTCTCCCCATTCTTTCATCGGTGAAAACTATACATGGCACGAGAGAGCTCTCTTCGGAGTCGCGCGCGAGAAAAAAGGCACATATGTATATATGGGTGTTTTGGAGAATCGAAAGGAGCAACTTTGAGATTCCACGACAAACAGTGGGTGGGATTCTCGCATTTTGAGAGAAAATGGTTCGTGTTGAGCTACAGAGACACGGCTAAATGCTGTGTAAAATCATGACTATGTAATTTTTCTTCTCTTTTGTATGGTAACAAACCACCAATCCATTCCCATCTCTCAACTCACACGGTCGTCCCAGCGTGCCTTTTTTCCTTCACCTCTCTCCAGTTGGGGAGAGAGACACAATGATGAAAATACGTATACATATGGCACAAGGGAGAGATAGGGGAGATATAGAAGTGGGTGGGTGTGTATTTTTTACCATGTTTCTCGGACAGATTAATGTTTGTGCATGCACACGAAAGAACTAATGGAAAATTGGAAGGAGTAAAAGGCTTTCGCAATATAAAACAAAACTTTCAATAAGCGAAATTGTGCTTTTTTCCTCTCCACCCATTTTAAACTTTTTTTTTCACAACCCCACGCCATTGATATGCCAGCAATGTGTGGGTAAGTGTAATATAATGCTCTCTCACGTTTTTTTTTCCTATACATCCAATCTTCACTGAGGAATTCCAATCCCCATTCCCACAGACAACCGACGCTAAAACACTTTGAAATCCGCACCAACTGTGAGGTGAGAAAGAGAGACATACAAATTCAATCCACTCAGCGAGCGCGGTCAAAAAAGTTCACCAAAGAATAACGCGCTATAATACCTTTCATACACAAACAACTGGTGCAGTGAGACGGGCACTCAGCTCTCAGTCCCATTTCGTAATAGTATCATAATCCCATTTTTATCTCATTGGCTTCTGACACTGACACCATCTCGAGCTTCTATAAATTTTTAAATATCTCTTACTCTCTCGCCGCCGACACATGAAAAAGCATTTGAGCTCAAAGGCGGTAAATGTGATCACCGGCATTATCGAGCTTTTGTTCACCTGAGCTTCTTTATTTATCTAAAAGCATACTAAAATACCCCGACCGAGATGTCACATGCGGTTATGCTTAGGGAGTAAATTTTTCGATTTTCCTAATATAAAATGCTAAGCCATAAAGCCCCTCAAGCTCATTTTCAATTCTGTGTACACATATTGTAGTCTTTCGAGCACATATACTATATGTGCAAAGTACAGTCTTGCTGTATGAATGTATCATCAGAGAATTCGTGAAAAGTGTTACATTAATTGATAATCCATCAGTTCTGCTCAAACTCTTTTTTTGGCTCAGAGTTCACCCATAATCTAAGCAAAACGTTTGCTTATCATGTGCTTTCAGTTTCTCACTATGCATAGGTTATTGCATCTTAAAGTTATTGCATACAAAATTCTATAACGACATACACAAGAATATCTAACTTGCACTCTTACTGATTACTTACAATATCAGGAAACTTCACTTCAAAAGGATTCCCACCGTGAAACCCTCTAAATCACTTCCTCTTAATTTGATTCACCCGCTGATATTTGATCAATTAGCAGTTTGATATTTGCGGAGAAACTTTCAAATAGTTTACTGATGATAGATAAAAGGTCGTGCTGTCTCTTTCCCTCTTAATTGTAAAAGCGCTTTGCAAGGTTTGTACAGAAAATGTAACTCGAATTTCAATCCCATTCTTAAGTACGACAACAACATGGATTAAAATCTGCATACCGCAATAAACCTTTTAAACGATCTTGTTATGCAAATATGAACAGTAATCTCACTGTAGAATGAACTTTTCATTGTATGAGCCATTGATGACCACAAAATTTATCATTTTCCTGAATTGTCATCTGTGCATTCAGTTTGGTTGCACTGGACTATGTACAAATTCATTGTACAATGGAAAGCTGTCTTGACAGTGAAGACAAGCAATCCCATTGATTGATCTCTTGAGAGAACTGCAATGGGAAGTCAAGAGATATTTCCTAGTCTCTTTATATTTGCAATATCCTAAATGCACACCTTTGACTATGGGAATGGCTGTTCCCATCTCGCTATGGGCTGAATTAATGTGAGAGTGCAATATTCATTAAGTCAATTCCCTGTGCATTTGCTTCGGATGTGTGTTGTTTCAAATGTATCACAACATATCAAGTTATTCTGCCCAAAGCAACCTCATGGCCACCAAATGTAAAATCTTATACATGTATATGCAATATAATGTAGTGCGAAATCAAAACCTCAAATGGGGAATTTAATTATGGCCCTAACAAGAAGTTAATGCACCCCAGAAGACTTCTCCTCATTGCTCTTCATTAAACAGGGCAGAATACAGAGCTGGATATTATCACAGTAATCAACATGTTATTGGAGGTCTCCATGCAAATTCTTATTACGATTTCACTCACCTTCGTAGACTGTAAGGGTGGCCTCGGCTGAAACTGCATCGCCAACGCCATTCTCAGCCACACATTCATATGGAGCGTCATCTCGGCCAGCTCGGACAGGTTCAATTCGCAAAATCGACACCCCGTGAGCCTCAATCACTGAATATCGACTCTGTGTGCCTGTGACAAATGAAAAAGGAATTGCGCAAAACCGCGTGTGTGTGATTAATGGTGCATGGAAAGAGTCTGTTGATTGATATTGAAAAGGTGTCTCCATATGTTACATACCGGAAACTTTCTTGCCATTTTTCCGCCAGATAATTGTCGGTTGCGGATCACCGCGCGCTGCACAGAAGAAACTCGCCACTCCACCCACACGAACACCTTGATTTGCAGGCTTCTTCACAATCTCCGGTGGATCTGAACATGTGAAAGAGACAGAGGAACAGAGAGGCATGGTTATTTCACTGAATAATTGGACGGTAAACAGGGGCGTAGGCAATAACGCTCGAATTTCGATGACACATCAGAAGAAGTAGAAGGATTTAGGTCTCATTTTTCACATACAATTTTCTCTTCCTTGTCATTATTCGTTGATTAGGTCTGAGTTAATAATAAAAAGCTCTTCAAGTCAAGAGAAGACATTGTTCACATCAGATATATTGATTGATTGACATCTTCTTCAGAGCCTTTAAGTCTAATCTATGCAAACAATGGAGATTTCTATCACTATTTTGCTGTGAATTTCAAAAATTGATCACAGTGTTGTGACTCAATTGAGACTATATGGGCTAAAAACCTCTTACTGTGCCTATGGTGGCATATGGAAAATGGTAGAGACAAAATCTGTCGCTCCAGGGTGGAAAATTCCATTGTATCTCCCCCACATTCGTGCCCTTTTGCCCCATGTAAATCCCACACAACTATAATCCTATCAAATGCTGAATATTTGCGGGATTCTTCTTAATCCTAATTAGAAGTCAACAAGAGTCAAATTGAATAGGGTGGCACAGCACTCATACTGAATAGCAGCACACGGGATTTTATAGATTCACAATGGGATGGGGTGTGAAAAAGAGATGAGGAAATTCACTCAGACTATCGCGTGTTGTATTTCAAAAGTAGGAGAGACAAGCACCTTCACCGTGCTAACTGCTCCTGGCTTTTTGGTTTCGGAAAGGAGTGAATATTTGTACTACACTGAGAAGACCTCCTGGAACATAAATATTTTCTTAACTTACGTGTCAGGTATTGGATGAATGGAAAATCCGAGAAATTTCCATCTGTAACATATCTCCATGTAATACACATCTCGTCGGATCTCTTTTGCCCACCCAAAGAGGGTGCTTTTATGGGGTGGGCAAAACTCACACAGAGATTTATCATCGCACATACACCATATTTATATTTTGATTTTTTAGCATATCATTTTTCTCAATACAAGTTTATTATTTCAGAGGGAATGGGGAACACGTTGTGGATGGGATTTTAGGAGTATCATCATAACATATTGCATGGTGGAGCTTAAATCTTATACATGAATATTGTCTCAATTTCGCATCAAACTCCAACATGAGAAGAGCGAGATCTGAAGGATCCAATTAGGGCTGGACTTCATACTGGCCACCCCAATTTCATCATCCTTATCGCGCATTCATGTGGATTTCAATCGAAACTGAAACTGGAAATACCGCACAACAACCAATTTGTTTTAATAAAACTACACGTGTATATTTGATGGGGTGTATCTTGACTGTTTGGACACGTTATGTTTTCCCAGTATTTTCTCCAGGAAAATTCCTTATCGTACCTTTTGAAAGTCAAACGGTGGAATGAAATTCATGGAAATTCACCCACCCACGCCTTCTTAGAACCCACAAAGGGACCCCAAAGACAAATTTACCACAACAAATTTGTACACAAGTTTTCCCTGGGAAAAGTCTTTTACACACAATCGAGATATGATACTTCACCTCGCTCCCTGTATACATACATTTTATCATCCCCACCAATCACTCCCCCACAAGCGTCGTCCTCGAGAGCCCAAGCACTTTCAATTATAGTTGAAGAAAATGTGTTCCCAGCATTAGTTAATTGTGTGGGAAAATAGAAATGTGTATTTGAGTATTCGCCCCGCCACCAATAATTCATTCCACACATTTTCTCATCGTATTATTTAGCCCAGGATAATTGTATATCCTCGCTATACGCATGCCAAAATGAGATGTTTCGCTTGAAATTTCGCTCGAAGAATGACGTTCTTATTTTCATTTGATTTATCTTGCAGAGCCTCATAGAAACCTTATACTCATGTACATTCCACCCAATCTATCTCGCAACTTGCAATTTTATTGATAGAAGGGAAAATCCTCGCTATTTTCCTCCAACCGCACATATATACAGACAAAAATCCAAAAATCCCTATCGACCCCGTGTGCGGTTGTTCGACTGTTTTCCCACAATCAGACCCAATTTACCCCGTATTTTCCCTCTCCTTCGCCAAAAAAAGATATTCAACTCACTCACCACGTAAAAGTAATGCTAAGTAATTGAATCAGATATGGATAAAAGAACTTTTGTGTCACACTAAACTCTCTCTCTTCCTCTCTCACATCCTGTGTCCTCTTGGCAATATGGTCGAGAAACATTAACGTATTTTCATCTAGTTAAGTTTTTTTTGCCATCCCTTTTGTGGCATTCTCACTCAACACACTTCACTCGTAATTCTATTCACGTGCTTCTCTGTCATTTAAAATTGCGGATAGATTACCTTTTCATATCAATTTCCCTTGTCCGAGACAAGCCAAAGTACACTTCAGGCTAAAACTTACAGACGTAACTGGAAACTATTCTGAAATAGCTAGTTCGGTGCATGAAATTTGTATTAAATTTGTAATACAATTTGAGATATGTATAATGTAGAATAGAGCTCAGAAATCTCATCGTTTAAATTCACAGAATTGCACTCTTTAAGAAGACCAGCAAAATCAAAGATAGAACTGCTTCCAAACTAAGCTCCCTTCACCCCTACTGTGTAACGTCTTGGCTTCTGGGGTGGGTCTTCTCCACATAGTTAACATCTCAGGAGCAAGACAGAGACAATACAGAGAAATCAGTAAGGCATGACACAAAAGGGAATTGGATTAGATGCAAGAGACAAACTGTCGATAAAATTGAGACTTGACGAGAGCAGTGAAAAAAGGCGAAACTAGTCAAAAGAAGTGGAACATTTGAGAATTTATGTATAGTAAAATTCGAAACATTTTCTGTTGCTTCACGCTCCCAGAGACAAACCTTCTACCGAGACCCATATATCGTTACACACTATGTACATTAGGTATAGTCAAACTGAAGAAAATAGATGAACCGGAAATTGAGATGTTTTAGATGTTGTCTACAATATTGTATTTGTTCTTGTTTCTTGTCTATAATATGAGCACATGAGACCTCTACATTCATAAGACAACGGAGAAGACTTAAGAAAAGTATCGTCGCATAAAAAAAACACTCTAGACACAAGCAAGAATGTAGAAAACAATCGTACGTACATATATCCTCAATGAATCTAATTTCACAAAATCCATGTGAAGAGAGTTTAGAGCGAGAGAGAGAGGGACAAATTCCACCTCAACTAAGCAATTGGAAATCAATGAATAAAACTATTTCTAATTTCACTATACTCCCCAGTCAGTTGACAAATAAAATGTGACCAATTGGAGTTCAACCTTCTCTCACTTTCACAATTGATATCGATTTTCTATTAAATATTTCGTATATACGGCAACTTCGCTCCCGCAATCACACTGGTGATATCCCTAAAATACTCGACCCTCCCCCACCTAGAGTGTCAAAATTTACAAGAGAAAACACTTTGGGTAAATCAATATTTTTCATCCTTCACCTTCTATACATTATCTATGATCACAATTCCGCATACTACATTCGAAAGATACAGGTGAAATAAATTCTACTCTCTCAGCAACATTTTTCTGACTCCCCATTTATAAATCTCAACAAATACATGCACCATGGTGGAAAGTTTTGAGTTGTCGCTCCACAGCAATAATAGTAAAAAAAAAACCCAACATTTTTCCTCCACACCAAGGCACCCCCTTTCATCGTCAAACGCGCAATGGTATTGAGAATTTATTTGCATTTATAGAACACAACACTGATTGTCCGATTCTTACAGCGCGCTTCAGGCACTTTTGAGACAAGTATCGCGAGTTCGGGCACACACAAAACCATTGTCACATCCCATCACACCCCTTTAGGAGACAAAACCCTTTTAACGACCCAATTGCCCCAATCATGCACAGATAATAAAAATACGAGAAATAAAATCGTTAGACAAGCATAAAAAAGGAGCGAATCTCTTAAAAATAATGGTAAAATGCTCTATAAAAATATTCGTAATATGGGCACTTAAGTGTCCATCCATGCTCGGAGGATCAAAAAACAAAAAGGCAATCAATAACCTTAATAGTAATTTAATTACTAAACCAATTCACTTTGTTCTATTAGTATTTCAGTCCATGAGCCACACATATACGTATTAGACATCTCATTGTAAGTGACCAACGTAATCAATCATTGAATGAGCAACTTCGTCACTAGGGACTAATCAACTTGATGGGTGAAGCAAAGAACAATCCAGAAAAACCCCCCTGGTGATGTCTTCGCAAGACATTTTCGGCGGTGGGGACACATATAAATTCCTAGTGAAAAATTACATTTTTTCCCTCCTTTGCCAAATACACCAGCAAAACCATCATGAATTGTGCACAGAGCTCTCCCTTCTTTCTTACAACTGCAAATATTTATAAACCACCATTTATTTGCCATCGTCTCAATCCACCTCCTCTTCATGAAATCAACCAGAACAAATTCACCACAGAATATATGTAATCACATACACTGCACAGAGACGCATGAGAGGAAAAAAGTATAAAAACGATGTAGAAATTATTGGGAAGGGAAATAAAATAAAATTCCATATCATTCAAGCTTTCTATACGCAGTGGCGGTAGATAAATCCTGAGTCTTTCTGATCTGGAGGAAAGTATAAAAAATCCATTTTATCCCTGACCATGAAAGAAAATAGACAATCAAATCTACAGTAAGAAAATTACCACGAGAATCGAATAACATAAAGTTGGATTGGAAACAATTCACTATATATAAATGCATGTGTATATATATCATTTCTTCACTGAGGAAAGCGCAATGATCCACAAAATATAATGGGCAAAATTTCGTATACTGCCGCACGATAAAACAATAAAAGAATTTCATTTTAACTTATTTACTTCCAGTATTATATCTGTGTGGCTGAAAAACAACGATCATAAAAGGACACTTTCAACAGTTTGGCGCTCAACGCAAGTTGAAATGCTCCCAGTAGGACTTTTTGGATTTTTTTCAATTAAATACAAACCATCAAACTTCTGTGGGTTGGGAATTTTCATTCAACTCATCATTTATGACGCAAAACATTATACATTTCAATTTTAAACACTGTTATACATATTTGTAAAACAGAAAACATACTTTTGAATTCAGTTTTAATTCAGAGCAGTGATTTTTTTAACATAGAATGTCTGCAAACCACAATTTTCGTACAAAGCAGAGGAAGTTACCATGCATAACTGAGACTTGCGGAATTCAAACTGTTCAAAATAAACTAAATTTCGACTTTGTCTAACATAACCATTCGATTTGCCCTCAGGGCGAAAATTTAATTTTCCCGAAATCCTTCGCCTCGTCAATGGAAAAATCATGGAGGTTCGCGTCTAAATTGCAATATATCTTCCAATTAAACTCAATGAGAGCGTATCTTTAGCATTTTCTTCGTATTACACGTGCAATTTACACGTAAATATAGTCAAATATTGAGTGGCGGTTCTTTAGGGGGATGAAACATACGACGAATGGGCGGAGGGAGAGACTTGTGATGAGAATTATAGTATCTCTCTCCTTCGACTCAGGCCTCCTCGTCTTTCCGCTGATTTTCGATTTAGCTCCAAACCCCGCGGCCTAATCGTCCTGTTGCGTGACAAGAATTGGTATTACTAATTACTTAAAATGTTTGTATACTCTCCTTTTTGCCCACTCCACACATACACATCGTCATTGCCTCTCACACTGCGATGTATTAAATGTTTTGGGGAGCATCTATACATGGGATTAGTTGGAGAATTGTACACCCACAACTTGTTCTACACTAATATTTTTCATTATACTGTTTACACGACTTCTCCCGTGAGCGGGAGGCAAAATGTTA